CCGCTCCACTCCGGGCTCCGAGAGGAAATGAACAGGGCGCGGGGCTCGGGGCAAACCTGGGGATTACAGGTCTGCGTCTTCTAGGGGGCTGTGGCAGCGCCGGCAGAATTCTGCCAGGCCCGGGCACCTCGGGTTCGAGAGCTTGTTCCGAAGGCGTGTTGGGAGGAGGAAGGGGGAGACGCAGAGCAAAGGGGCGCCCAGGAGGCGGGGCCAACCGGCTAGAAGCAGCAGCTCCTGGCACCCTGGCCGCCCCCCAGGAGAAACTGGGGCGCGCACCCCGACGCGGAAGCCATGCCGGCCACAGCTCAGGTGCCGGGGTGCTGAAGTGCCGGCGGGGGGCGCTAAGGAGATCCGGGGGCGCGGAACTGGGTCACCCCCACCACACCGCCCCCTCACAAAGGCCCCCGGGGAGGCGGCCCACAGGCCCTGCAGCACCGGACTCAAGTGCCCGCCTCAGCCGCCACTCACCGCTAGGTCCTGGGGCACCGCCCCGCTCATGGCCCGCACCGTGCCGGCCCGCCAGGCCCGAGTGCGCAGCGCAGGCCCTGGATCTCCTCCACACGCCACCGCTGCCGCCACGGGGGCCGAAGCCGAGGCCGTGGTGTCCGCGAACAGAAGCAGCAGACGCTTGCCCACCGGGGAGGCCGCCGCGTCCGCCATCGCCAGGGTCAGCCAGACCCGCGTTCCCGCCCGCCTCCTCCCACCACCTCCGCCGCCGCCGAGCGCCCGATCCGCCCGCAAGGCCTCCCTCCGCACCACCCGCGGCCGCCGCTCCCCCCCCACCCCCCCCAACAGCCACCACCAACCACCGGTGTGGCGCAGCGCCCCCCGTGGCCGGGAGCGGAGCCGCAGCCCGGGCCCGGCACAGCGCCCCCCGCGCTCTGGAGCGGGGCGGCAGCTCTGGGCCCCTCGCAGCGCTCCGCCCCAACCTCCCCAGGGGCTGCAGTGCCCCCTGCGGTCGGGAGGGGAATTGCAGGTTCGGCCCGGTTGGGGGGAATAGGTGGGGCCTTCAGGCCCCCTTGTCACCATCCCTGGTACCACCCGGACATTTTCAGAGTGTTAGTATATGTTGAGAAGATTTTGGCATACTTCATTTCAACAGCAATGACTTAGGGAGGTAGGGGAGAAGAGGTCAAGGTACCTAGACAGTAGATGTTTGGGGCTAAGTTAGCGACCCCAATATCCCTTTGATTTTCTAACCGAAAAATTAGCTCCGCCCATCCCCTAACTATCCTTTAGGAAATTCTCTATTGGTCCATGAAATACAGTATCTTTCTTCTCATTGGTCCATAACATAATACCATCCCATTGTGTAGTGCTAGTACTTCATAAATTCCTTTCCAATTGGCCGATGAATTAGTGGTAACAATGCTACTTTGAATTTTATGAAGGCCAGTATGTCTCCAACATCTTGATATTAAGCCCTCAGAGCTTCTTTGCTTTCCTAGTCTTCCAATGTTATATTCTTATATTCTACAGTATTTCTCAACTTAAGGGACACGCAAAAAGAACAGCAGTAAAGGAATTTTCCTCTCTGGGTTTCAGTGCACTTCATCTTACCATGGAAGTTGTGGTTGAAGGCAAAGAAAAGTCCCATAACTCCGAACTGAAGTTATCTTACAGGTGTAGGATGTTGATCATTTCTTATTAGAAAATGAGGCTGTACAAAAGGAAGATGCTAAAAAAAAATGCTGAGATTTTTTTTTGGCTAGTTATTCACGAGACAATGGGAAACCTCAATTAATGTTGGTATTGTCAGCCTAGCACATTTTATGGCCTCATGAATATAGAGATTGAGTATATACAAAACAGATACAAATCAGGATAAAGGGTCTAGTAATAAACTATGACTACTGCTCTAAACGGGACTTCCATTGATCTGCCCTATATGTAATAGAAAGCTTCAGTGCCTTCTCAGTCATCTCTCCATAATCTTATCTGTACCCTTTACTAACTTTCCTTGTGGCAAAGGCTGTTGTCAGTGATACCAACTTGGAAGCACACAACATCTAGAAAAGCCTATGAAGCACCCACAAAACGTTCCCTCCCGCCGGGCGCCCGTGGCTCACGCCTGTAATCCTAGCTACTCAGGAGGCTGAGATCTGAAGATCTCGGTTCAAAGCCAGCCTGGGCAGGAAAGTCCATGAGACTCTTATCTCCAATAAACCACTCAAAAACCGGAAGTGGCACTGTGGCTCAAGTGGTAGAGCGCTTGCCTTGAGCTGAAGAGCTGAGGGGCAGTGCCCAAGCCCAGAGTTCAAGCCCCATGACAGACCAAAAAAACAAAAACAAAAACAAAAACAATTCCCTCCCTATTCTCATAAACTCCATCTTCCACAGCTGACCTCAAGCTTGACTCAGAATATTCCTTGAACTGAGAAATATCTAAGAAAGCATATATGTCTTATAAATTGTAGTTGGAAGAAAATAGTATGAATCCATACAAGACCTGTCTTGCAGCTTTTCTAACAAAATTAACGGCTTAGGTTTTCCCCTATATGAGACTTTAATTGTCTGGGTGTCTAAAGCTGTTTTCTAACAGCACCAGAGACAAATCTCAGGGATGGAAAGGGCAAAAGGAGAAATGTATTCAAATATGGCAAGCACTTATCATGTACTAGAAATTTTCCAAAGTGTGGAGACACAACATTGAATTAAAAATACCCTTTCCTCTTGGAGTTTACATTCTTTACTGTACTGGTGAGACTTCAAGAATTAAACATTAGGGCTGGGAAGGTGGCTCAGTGGTAAAGTGCTTGCCTTGCATGCATGAGGCTCTAGGTTCGATTTCTCAGCACCACATAAGCAGAAAAAAGCCGAAGTGGTGCTTTGGCTCAAGTGGTAGAGTGCTAGCCTTGAGCTGAGAGCTGAGGGACAGCGCCCAGGCCCAGAGTGCAGACATTATTATTAAACTTGGTCTCACAGAATATAAAGTTGAAAATCCCATTACAGGACTAGGGGTCTAGTTCAGTGGGAGAACATTTGTGTAGTATGTACAAGGCCCTAAGTTTGATCCTAGCACTTAAAATAGCAACAAAACATATACTTTTTTTTTTTTAATCTATAGACTGCCAGGCACTGGTGGCTTATACATCTAATCCTAGTTACTCAGGAGACTGAGATCTGAGAATCATGATTTGAAGCCAGTCCCAGCAGAAAAGTCTGTGAAACTCTTACCCCAATTAACCACCAGAGAACCGGAAATGGGGCTGTGGCTCTTAGTTGTAGAGTGCTAGCCTTGAGTAAAAGAGCCCAGAGACAGACAGTGCCTAGGTCCCGAGTTCAAGCTTCACAACTGACTAAAAAAAAAAAAAATCTATAGAATTCAAAAAAGCAGGACCAAAGTCATTTTAAGTGTTCAGTCTACCTACACACCAGTAGATAAAACTGAAATATTAAAAGAAAAGCTGTGATTCTAAGCCTCTTTAACCACATTCTGCTGCCCTCCCTAATCTCCAAAAACCCCTCCTTCCTGACAACTTTTTCTAGGGTTTCTGTCCCAGGTAGGGAAGCCAATTCATTGGTATTCAATGAATGCCACAAATTTGAAACTGGAAAGTAGGATGTAGGCTAAAGCATCTTATTCTTGCTGCCCTGACAAGTCAGCACCACAAATGGTAAATTTCAAAACAAACAAACAAAAAACCTTTAGAGGCTCTTGCCTGGATCTCTAAGCAGCTGTTTCATCTATACACGTTGGATGACTGTTAACGTAGGGAGAAGGGTAGAATAGAAAATCCTAAAAACTTGGGGCTGGGAAGGTGGCTCAGTGGTAGAGCGCTTGCTTTGCATGCATGAGGCCCTGGGTTCCATTCCTCAGCACCACATAAGCAAAAAGAATCTGTAGAGTCTATTAGGTAGAGGATCATATAATCTGCAAATAAAAATAATTAAAAAAAAAAGAAAGTCCTAAAAACTTGAGCAGTGCAGCTTCTTTCCGTAGCAAATAGGACTTGTCAGCAAATTGAAACATTAGGGAAAATACCTTTCCCTAGGACAAAAGAAGTTTTGCTGCCAGGATAATTTTGTATAAGCAATGTTTTTAGGATAGCCAGGTGCTGGTGGCTCTCACCTGTAATTCTAACTACTCAGGAGGCTGAGATCTGAGGATCAAAGTTGGAAGCTAGCCCTGGGAGGAAAGTCTGTGACACTCATCTCCAATTAACCACTAAAAATCTCGAAATGACGCTTGGCTCAAGTAGCTGAATGCTAGCCTTGGACAAAAAAGCTCAGGGAGCCAGGCACTAGTGTTCACACCTGTAATCCTAGCTACTCAGGAGGCTGAGATCCCAGGCAGGAAAGTCTGTGAGACTTTTATCTCAAATAAACCACCAGAAAACCCGTGTCACTGTGGCTCAATGATAGAGTGCTCGCCTTGAGCTGAAGAGCTCAGGGACAGTGCCTGGGCCCAGAATTCAAGCTGCACAACCAGACCAAAAAAAAAAAAAGCTCAGGGACAGCACCCAGGCCCTGAGTTCAAGCCCCAGGACTGATATTTGAAAAGAAAAAGTATTTTTAGGATGGAGAATTGCCTAGGTCTTTAGAATCTAAATTCTGATGATTAAATTTACATCTCTTCAGCACCAGAGTCCAGGCCATCTCTCACTTTGACATCTTCTTGCAACCCAAAGCCTATAAGCCCATCTAGATAAGTTTCTAATTCAGTCATTAAGCATTTCCCAGGGAACTGAAATGTATTAACATTTGACTTTACTCAGGTAGAAGTGAAAATGACAGCAAGAAAGAAAAAACAGATGTAAATGCCAGGGAAACAGACACTAAACCAGATTCACAGAAATAATGAAGGCCTTGAATGAAGCTTATTCCATAGGATCTGATCTGCTGGGCGTTTAAAGCACCTAGGGACCAGATACTATCATTTTGAGAAGCCTATCTGTTTCTCAGAGAATAGGACTGGAAGTTTGGTGGTCTCTCTGCTTCTTATCTTTCTTTGTGGGACAGGGAAAAAGACACTGTAATACACAAACTTGCTTGGGAAAATGGATTATTCTAATAAAACTTTATTTTTTCAAACACAGCCACAGAGGCAGAACCTCATGTTTAACACACACAGACTTATGGAATTTTTTTTTTATATAAAACAAAGTTTACGAAAATTTTTTTTCCACTTTTTGTTTTTGTAATCCCATTAGCACAGGGACTTTGGCAGCAGGTGGGAGTGAAGGGCAGCTGAGGCTGCCACTGGGCAGTCACCGGGCACAAGAGGAGAGCACCAGCCTGGGAGTGGCTTCACTCACACACGCAGGAATACTCACCTACTGGCCAGCCACACTACACACACAACACAGATGCAGACATCTACCCAGCATCAGCCACAAGCCCTGGAGGTGTGCTCCACTCTGGGTAAGCCCAATATGTGAGAACCCAAATAATCAAAACAGCTAAAGTAGAGAGCTAAGGGATGGTTGCTTGCTTTACAAAAGAAGCAATCATAGGCTGCTTTTAAATGATCAGCAATCCAAATGCATTAAAAATAGCATTTGGTTTACACAGAACTGTTGGAACAGATCTATTGTGTAAAGCAAAATGAACCACTTCTTGAAAAGGCTTGTTCCAGGGCCACAGCTCTTTAGGAAGCAAGATAGTTTGGATTACTTTAACTCCCAGACTTGAAGTATGGAATTAAAACATGACAACTGTAGGCCTTCTCCTCTAAGGATGATGCCCTAGGGCTTTAAAAAAAAAAAAAAAAAAAGCCAGGATAGAGGCTTCACTTCTTCAGCTTAGGGCCTGCAGAGAACTCATTGGCATTGACAGTAGCCTACTGGAAGCTGGAACAGGTAATCTGCAACAGAGAGCCAAGGGAAGAGGACGTCCCAGGAGGAAAAGCAGCTGATACCAAGGAAATTATGAACTGAAGAGGGAGAAGAACCAGGGAAGGGATGAAACTAAAGATGGGCACCTCCTGGGCTCACAGTTTCACTTAATTCTTTAGAGAGCCTTTCTCAGATCTCAAGAGACTTGGTGATACATGGTAACTAGACCTAGCGCCTCTGAGGACATAGCCACTTCCTCTGAAGTGGAGGCAAGAAGGCTGGAGCCTCAGTGATAGCTCCTATGCAACATGTAGGAGATGCAGAAAACCTCAGGCTCAATTCCACATTGAAAAAAAAAAACACAGACCTTTGCCTTCTCTAATATGAGGAATTGGGTCTCTAGACACCTTGGATATTGAACAGAAAAATGCCCTTCATGCAATAAAGCAGGAAGGGCAAGTCCAATTTGGTCATGCAAGGTCTTCTAATCAAAGCTAAACAGTGCCTCATGGGCTACTATGGTGACAGCTTCAATATGCATATCCACTAGTACCAGCCTACCAAAATAACTGTAGTCCTTAAATCCACACTGCAGCCACTAGACCTACTGCCCTAGCTCAAATTATGGGCTAGTAACAAAAACGAAATTCAATCCAACAACAAACTCCCAGCTGCTTCTCACAGTCTTTGCTTTACACATCCTCAGCCAATCCCTCAGTGAGTCCCAGCCTCTCTGTAGTCTCTTAGGGCCAATTAGAGGTAAATAAACATTTCCTGGCAGGAGTGGAAGACAAGTAAACTAGTAAATGTTGAATACCTAGCCTCTTTTTCAAGCAGGTCAGAAAAGAGTCTGGGCCAGGATCTTGTAAGAATAGGTTTCACTATATTCTGCTTCCAAAGAGCAGTAATGGAATGAGCTCATCTCTGCTGAGAACTGAATGCCACTGTTCCTGCTTCAGATCTACCTCAACAGATGCTGAGAACCAAGACATCGTCTTGCTACCTTATCTCTGACCTGGAAAATCAGAAGATGAGAGGAAAAGGTCCCCTCAATGAAGAAGAGAGAAATGAAACCCTTCAGCTATGCCTTAGTTGCTCGCATATGCTTGGACATACTAAGAGAGTGAGAGGCCACAGCTCAGAAAAACAAAAAAAAAATGTGGTAACCTCAATGCAGCCCTCAATACTAGATCTATCTAATGGGGACAGAGTAGGACTGAGGGGGAAAAAAAGATCATTGGCTGAGGTCAGAGCACTTAAAGACTCTGCTGTACCCCAAAAGAGAATTTTTGCAGAGCCAGTGATGCTATGGATTACAAGCCTGGTTCCAGTGCTACTGAGAATAAAGGAAAACTGGGAACCTCCTCTTGACTCCTTGAACAAGCCACTGTTCTAAAAAAAAAAACTCAAGATCCTGGGGGTATCATGATGCTCTGTTAATGGAGCAACTGCCTTCCTTCCCTAAGGCTACACAAACACACCTTTCCTCAAGTACACTCCCATGCACGCACGCACACTCACACAATTTCTCTGAGGAGGCTGACTGAACACCCCCACCCTGGCCAAATTCTAAGACACAAGTGCCCTTTGAAGCAAAGGGGCTAGTGAAATTCCCCGAGCTGGGGTCAGCAGACCCCTTCCTTCCCTGCCCATTGCTTTCTCGGTGGCAGGGATACTCACACTCAGGGCCACCACAGGGAGGGGCTTCTCTGGGGCTGTCCCTCCCGCCACCAGCTCTGTTTATCTTGTCCTGGCCAGTTTCTTGGCATGGTCGAGCTTGCTGGAGCGAGATTTCCGGCTACCCTGAGTCGGAGCCCTCCACTCACCCCCATTCCCAGGCTGGGCCCTCAGACTTGGGGCCTTGACACTTGTTAGTAGCCATAAGAGAGTCAGTCTGTGTGGCCCCAGGAAGTAGCCTCTCAGTTTTAGTTCTCTTCAATCAGATTCAGATCCAGATCCCCAAAATCCTGCTGGCATAGTGTCCGCTTGCTCAGTGCCTGCCGCCCCCACCGTACAGCCCCCTCCTCTTCCTCTTCACTTTCACTCAGCACCTGGGAGGAACCCCCAATGGGGCTGCAGGAAGCAGAGAGAGGTGGGGGACTACAGGCCATAAACCATGGTGGGGAGATGCTGTTGCCTTCCCGGGCTGTTTCTTGGAGACAGAGAGCTCCTGAGTATGGTTTCTGTCAACAACAAAAAACAAAGTTTGAATGACAAAGACACTAATTTCCAAGAGCACCCCAAAATGTATTTCAAAACTTCCCTTTCAGCTATGCCTGAGGCTCCATAAAATTTGGGAAATTTCACTGGTGGCTCACGCCTATAATGCTACCTACTCAGGAAGATGAGAGCTGAGGATCAGTGTGAAGCTAGTTCAGGCAGTAAAGTCCACGAGACTCTTATCTCCAAAAAATTGCCCCCAAAAATGGAGCTGTGGTTCAAGTGACAGAGCACTAGCCTTGAGCAAAGGAAGCTCAGGGCAGCACCCAGATCTAGTGTTCAAGCCCCAGGATCAAAAAAAAAAACAAAACCTGGAAAATTTATTGAGGAAGAAGCCCACTTTCCATCAGATTCAAGAACAGAAACTTGGGAGGCTGGAGGTGTGGCTCAGTGGTAGAGTATCTATCTAGCAGACATGAAACCCTGAGTACCCATAGCTGGATGGGAGAATGGGAGAAAAGGAAGGAGGGAGGGAGAGAAGCAGAGGAGGAAAGAAAAAGATGGGGGGAGGGGAGGAAGCTTGGGCTGAGTATGGTGGCATATGCCTATAATCCCAGCTTGGATCAAGACCCTGTCTCAAAACCAAAACCAAGCAAACTTTACTTATAAGCCCCATGTAGGCAGGAACAATATCTGCTTGCTTGGTACTCTGTCCTGCCAAATACCTAAGCAGACTCAAGTACATAGTGAGTGAGCTTTTCAGTAAATGCTTGCTGCTGGGCTGGATGACCATCATAAAAAAGGTAACAAATTCTTGGAGGCTTGTGACCCCAGTAGTCTAAACAATTGCACTTATACTAGGGGGCCAGAGAACATTTGTTAAGTTTATAAACAACATCTCTGCCCATCTTAAATATTCAGAGGCCCACTTGAAGCAGTGAATGACAAGTAGCAAAACCCTAAAATCAGGGCAGCAGTGACTCATGCTTGTAATCCTAGCTACTGAGGAGGCTGAAATTGGAGGATCACAGCTCAAAGCCAGACCAGGCAGAAAAGTCTGTGAGACCTTTATTTCCAATTAATCTGCAAAAAGCCAGAAGTGGAGGTGTGGCTCAAGTAATACAGCACCAGCCTTGAGCAGAAAAAGCTAAGGGACAGTATCCAGACCCTGAGTTGAAGCCTCATTACTAGCACAAAAAAAAAAAAAAAAGAAAGAAAAATGCCGGGTTAGTGCAGCTCAAGTGGTAGAGCACCAGACGGGATAAAGTCAAGGAAAGCACAAGGTCTTAAGGTCAAGTCCCAAAATGGCAAAATAAAAAGTAAACCAAGGGGCTGGGAAGGTGGCTCAGTGGTAGAGTGCTTGCCTTGCATGCATGAGGCCCTGGGTTCGATTCCCCAGCACCACATAAGCAAAAATTAATAAAAAAGTAAAAAAAGTAAACCAAGGCTGGGAATATGGCTTAGTGACAAAGTGCTTGCCTAGCATGCGTGAAGCCCTGGGTTCAATTCTTCAGTTCCCCATAAACAGAAAAAGCCACAAGTGGCTCTGTGGCTCAAGTGGTAGAGTGCTAGCCTTGAGCAAAAAGCAGCTCAGGGACAGTGCTCAAGTCCTGAGTTCAAGCCCAGGACTGGCAAAAACAAAACAAAACAAAGACACACACACAAAAAGTAAATCAACCCTGAACACAATGAACAGGGTGTTGGTGAGTGGCCTTCTCTGGCTTATGTACTCTTGCTTAGAGGAAAAAGTGCCCCTGGCAAGACAATTTGTAATCCTTGCTGGATCTAGTTTCTCTAGAACCCCCCAAAACTGAGGAATCCTACGGGAGGTTTTTGGTGCTAAAACCCAATAGTCCCATGTCAATCAGGACAGTCTTTCTAGCAAAAGCTCATACAGGAAAAAAAAAACACATAAACACAAGTCCTCCCACTCCAATCCACTCCTACCTGATTCATCTTGTCAAAGTCCAAGGAAGGCCGCAGACGCCGAGGGTCCTCCTCATGGCGTCGTTTGACCCCAGTTTTGCGGGCATCCAGATCACAAGGCTGTGAGCGGCTTCGGGGAAGGTTTTGGAGACCTCGTGGTCGCCAGGGCAGCTCTGGAGAGGATGCAGGGGAACTTCGAGCAGAGGGCAAGAAGCGGCTTGCTTGTGGACCCAGGCTGGGTGACAGAGAGAAGCGACGCTGGGGTGGGCAAGGTGACAGGGACTCAGCATCACTTTCCCAGGAGCCACTCTGAGGGGAGGTGGCACAAGGTCGAGAGGAATCTTGGGCCAGAGCCAGGCTGAAGAAAGGAGGGCTGTAGGGTCTGTGGGCTGGGGCACATTGAGAAGAGGCACTGGGAGCTTGGAGGAACCTGAGGCTGGAGACCCGCTTCGGAGGGCTCTGGTGAGGCACCTGCGGCCCACCCCCTCCACTACTGCCCCGGTGCTTGATGGGAGTCCACAGCTTGGAGGGGGCGGGCCGCCACACCGGCTGCCAGCGAGACAGGTCCACGGGCACCGAGAGTGAGCGACAGTGCCTCTTGGATGGAGGGGCAGGGGGCACAGGAAGTTTCTCTGGGTCTGGGGGCTCAGGGTGCAGAACTTGGGAGAGAGGCTGCTCCTGTGGGGAACTTCCTCGACTGGGTGGTCTGAGGTGCAGGCTCAAGCCTGAAGGATGGTAGTTGAAGTTGAGGCTGTCCTGGAATTCAGCACAGGAGCAGTGGGGCAGGCCCCTCCAGGAAGCACCTTCTGGAAAGAATTCATAATTAAATATATTAATGACAGTTAACTTTTTTTTTTTGGCTGGTCATGGGGCTTGAACTCTGGGCCTGGGCGCTGTCCCTCAGTTCTTCAACTCAAGGTGAGCACTCTACCACTTGAGCCACAGTGCCACTTCCAGCTTTTTCTGCTTATGTGGTGCTGAGGAATTGAACCCAGGGCCTCATGCATACAAGGCAAGCACTCTACCACTGAGCCACCTTCCTAGCCCCAACTTTTTTTTTTTTTTTTTTTTTTAATGCTGGTATTGGGTTTGAATAAAGGCCTTATGCTCTTACTTGGCTTTTTTACACATCTCCAGTCCAGTTTTTATGCTGATTAACTGGCATGGCTACACTTTTCTGGCTGGCTAGCTTCACACCATGATCATCAGATCTCAGGCTCGTAAGAGGCTAAGATTACAGATATTAGCTACTGGCCCCAGGCTTGATAGAAATTTTTTTTTCTCTTAAGAGCTTTTGTGCCAATCTATGTACCGAACATGTAGCTTACCAAAAAGCTCCATGAGAGCCAGGTGCTGCTGGCTTACATCTGTAAATCCTAGCTACTTAGGAGGCTGAGATCTAAGGACAGAAGTTTGAAGCAAGACTGAGCCCATGAACTCATCTCCAATTAACCACCAAAAAGCCAGAAGTGGAGGTGTGGCTCAAGTGGTAGAGCGCTTGCCCTGAACAAAAAAGCTCAGGGACAATGTTCATGTCCTGAGCTCAAGCCCTAGTACCAGCACAGAAAATCTCCATGGGATAGCTACTATGATTAGCTCCATTTCACTGATGAGAGAGTTCAGTAACGTGCCTCAAATCACTGAACAATCAAATGACCAAACCAGGATTCAGGTCTGTCTGATGTCAAGGCTGTATTTCTTACTCACTATGCTATACTACTCCACTGTAAGAAAACTATATAGAATTAAAAATGTATCATATATACTGACTGCCACTCACCACACCCCTGTTCACTCTACCTAGTCATATCTACAAACTTTCTTTCCCTGTTCTCAGCCTGGGTTCTAAGAAGCATACCTATACTCTCTTATTCCTGGTGCTTTTCCTTCTCATGTGTCAACAAGACCAAAACAAGAATTAGGGCTGCTGGGCTAGGAATGTAGCTTAGGGGTAGAGTGCTTTCCTAGCATATATGAAGCTCTGGGTTCAATTCCTCAGTACCACATAAACAGAAAAAACCAGAAGTGGTGCCATGGCTCAAGTGGTAGAGTGCTAGCCTTAAGCAAAAGAAGCTCAAGGACAGTGCCCAGGCCCTGAGTTCAAGCCCCAGAACTGGCCAAGGGAAAAACAAAAACAAAAAAAAGAATGAAGGCTGCCAAGAAGTGAGGCACAATTAAACAGGTGAGAGATTACTTTTCTTCCTAGGGAGGGTAAAAGGGTAGAACAGGGTATTGATGATGGAACCTATACTTGGGCCATGTACCTACTTGGATTCTCCTTCCCCTAAGAATTATTTATTTATTTAAAAATTTTAATTGTTATTATAAAGGTGAGGTACAGAGGAGTTACGGTGACATAAGGCAGGAAAAGAGTACATTTCTTTTTGGACAACATCACCCCTTCCCTTTCTCTCTCCCAGTTTTTCCTTCCTATCCCTACCCACAAGTTGTCTTTTTTTGTAGTTGTAGAGCTTGAACTCAGGACCTAGGCTCTTTTGCTGAAGGCTAGCCCTCTACCACTTAAGCCACGGCATCACTTCAGGTTTTCAGGTGGTTAATTGGAGACAGGAGTCTCATGGACTTTCCTGCCTGGGCTGGTTTTGAACGATGATCCTCAGATCTCAGCCTGCTGAGTAGCTAGGATTACAGGCATGAGCCATCAGCACCCAGCTCCTACCCACAAGTTGTATAGTTCATTTTCAACATAGTGTCCAGTGAGTAGCATTGCTGTATTACTCACCTTTTGTCGCTCCATTTTGTGCCTCCCCTTTTACTCCCAAAGACATATGAATGAACGAACAGAACAAAACAACAAAAAGAACAAAAACAGCAATAAAGCAAAAACCTGGAGTTTATTTTGATAAATACTATTTTGTGTGATAAGATGTACATAGGCACTGTGCCTTTCTGTTCCTCTTCTAAGAGTATCCTCCTTTGGTCCCACTGTGTGAGAATGCCTAGAGACCTGTAAAATTTATTATGTCCTAAGCATTGTTTTAAAGGAAGAAAGGGGCTGGGAAGTTGGCTCAGTGGTAGAGCACTTGCCTTGCATGCCTGAGGCCCTGGGTTCGATTCCTCAGCACCACATAAGCAAAAAGATAAAGGCCGGAAGTGGTGCTGTGCTCAAATGGTAGAGCACTAGCCTTGAGCTGAAGAGCTGAGGGACAGTGCTCAGGCCCAGAGTTCAGGCCCCACGACCGGACCCAAAAAAAAAAAAGGAAGAAAGGAGAAATGTGCTAGAAATGGTTCTCACTGCATTCCACCCAGTATTATTACTTTTTGTGGTTAGCTCATTAAGGGACAAAGGATCTATTCCAACATCCTCTGAATGGAATTTTGCAGAGGCTGGAGATTTGGGAGAAAAAAAAATCACAAGTATATGAAAACTTGTGATAGTAAAAATCATGCCTAACGCTATCTGGTCAATAGTTCTTATCCCTACTAAGCTCCAAAAGAGTAAGGATCAGGAGTCCTATGACACAATACTCTGCCATGACATCACTTGGCTTTCAGCAAGTATTTAATAAAGAAGAAAACATTTTTGCCAACTTACTTCCATTGCCAAGTATCCCAGAAAAGAAAAGAAAAGCACAAAAGCCTGGTAGCCTAGGTTAGCAATAAAGGCCCATGACCACAGGCCCTTTACTTATAATCTAGGACTTTAGACCTCAGATAAAGTATCACATGTGAAAAATATGAGGTGATTCATACACATATATATATATTCAAATATATTATTCAAAAAATACACTATTGCTTTATATAGTACATAGGATTCTAGAAATTACCTAAATATATATCAGTAGGAGATTAATTAATAAATAAACTTAAGGTATATCAATTCAGTGTGAGAATACTTGGCTATAAAAGCAAAGGAATGCTTAGTATACTGATAGGGAAAGACCTCACAGCTGTATTAAGCATAGATAACAGAATATGCAAGGTTTCCCGTTTAGGAAAATAGGATGGTGGCTCACACCTGTAATCCTAGCTACTCAGGAAGCTGAGATCTGAGGATCATGGCCAGAAGGCAGCCCAGGCAAGAAAGTCTATGAGACTCTTATTTCCAATTAACCACCAAAAAGCCTGAAGTGGGACTGTGGCTTAAGTGGTAAAGTACTAGTGTCCTGAGCAAAAAAACCCGAAAACCCCTCAAAATCTCAGAGACAGCACCCAAACCCTCATTTCAAGCCTCAGAACCAGCACACACACACGAAAAGGAATATATATGAAAGAACATATGTATATAAATGTATTATGTAATATACATATGTATTTAGTTCTACTTGTATAAAAAAAATTCTGGTTGGATGTACAAGAAAATACTAAGAGGCTGGTCTGGGAAGGTGGCTCAGCGGTAGAGTGTTTGCCTTGCATGCATGAGGCCCTGGGTTCGATTCCCCAGCACCACATAAGCAAAAAGAAAAAAGCTGGAAGTGGCGCTGTGGCTCAAGTGGTAGAGCGCTAGCCTTGAGCTGAAGAGCTGAGGGACAGCGCCCAGACCCAGAGTTCAGGCCCCAGGACCAGACCCCCAAAAGAAAAGAAAAGAAAAGAAAATAGTAAGAGGGCTGGGAAGGTGGCTCAGTGGTAGAGCGCTTCCCTTACATGCTTGAGGCCCTGGGTTTGATTCCTCAGCATCACATAAGCAAAACAGAAAAAAGCCGGAAGTGGCGCTGTGACTCAAGTGGTAGAGCACTAGCCTTGAGCTGAAGAGCTGAGGGACAGCGCCCAGGCCCAGAGTTCAGGCCCCACGACGGGACCCCCCCCCCCCCAAAAAAAAAAAAAAAAAAGAACAGAAAATAGTAAGGGGAGGTTATTTGTTTTTGTCAGTCATGAGGCTTGAACTCAGGGTCTGGGCAATGTCCCTGAGCTTCTTTTGCTCAAGGCTAGCACTCTACCACTTGAGCCACAACACCACTTCTGGCTTTTTCTGTATATGTCGTACTGAGGAATCCAACACAGGGTTTCATGCATGCTAGGCAAGCACTCTATCACTAAGCCACATGCCCAACCAGTAAGTATTTTTGTTTTGTCCCATACATAATAAACAAGTGTTCTACCACTGATAGTAAAGGCTACCACTGAACCATAGCTTCCTAGTGACTTTTAGGGAGGTAATGGGAACTGGGTAGATAGGGAAGGATAGCTCTTATCAGTATAATGTTTGTTATTTTTAATTTTTAAAACTATATAAATGCAAATCCTATTCAAAAAACATTAGAGGGGCTGGGAAGGTGGCTCAGTGGTAGAGCGCTTGCCCTGCATGCCTGAGGCCCTGGGTTCGATTCCTCAGCACCACATAAGCCAAAAGAAAAAAGGCAGAAGTGGCGCTCTGGCTCAAGTGGTAGAGCGCTAGCCTTGAGCTGAAGAGCTGAGGGACAGCACCCAGGCCCAGAGTTCAGGCCCCACGACCGGACCCAAAAAAAAAAAAAAAAAAAAAAACATTAGAGAATGGGGCTGGGAAGGTGGCTCAGTGGTAGAGCGCTTGCCTTGCATGCATGAGGCCCTGGGTTCGATTCCTCAGCACCACATAAGCAAAAAGAAAAAAGCCGGAAGTGGTGCTGTGGCTCAAGTGGTAGAGTGCTAGCCTTAAGCTGAAGAGCTGAGGGACAGCGCCCAGGCCCAGAGTTCAGGCTCCAGGACCGGACTCAAAAAAAAAAAAAAAAAAAAAAATTAGAGAAGTCCCTATAAGCTAGAATAAGAGCAACTAAACAGGTAACTTTCCTGCAAGGCAGCAAAATGGAGACAAGTGCTGATCACAGAAGCTGACTCCAGCAAGAAAGTTCTAGAAGTATGATAACTAGTCTTGATCACTAGAAACCAATGAAAGAAATGTGTGAAGACAAGGGCAGACACACATATACAAAACATACAAACTTCCAAAACACACACAATATCTTACCAGACACAAGCTGGAAAGGGTTCCCACAGTTGGATATGTCTGCATGATCAGGCAAAGGCTAAGAGAGAGAGAAAGAGAGAGAGAGAACATACATCATGATTTGTGTCCAGAACACATTAACAAACTTACAGCAAGACCTTTTCAATTCTTGGACTAACCAGGGTGTTAGAGACTCCTAAGTGTTTTCTTCCTATTGTCTTTCTAAAGTTAGTGAGTAAAGTAATCCACACCTTCTAATATTTCAAACCCTCTCCACCCAAGTTTTAATATCCTTCGCTATTAATGGAAAAATCCCTGCCCCCTTCTTTTTGGGCTGGGTTTGGAGCCTTAGTGGGCCCTTCTATTACAAGTACAATGCTTCATATAACACAGAACAAGGGTAAAGTGGTAGCAACAAACAGCCTCAGAAAAAAGGGGGAGGGGGTTATGGAGAAGCAGGAAGACTGGTCTTTTACCAGACTGATGCTGAAGCGTGTGCATTTCAGCTCATCCAGAGTCTGCTTCTGTAGCTGCTCAGTGATCAGGGTTATCATGTTTCTCCCCAGGATCTGACTTGCACACTTTGGAGCAAATGATGGATGTCTTCCCTGTTGTTCTTCCAGACCTCACTCGTGAGCCGTCTTCTGCCACTGCAGCACCATTCTAGCACCATTGGGACTTCCCTCTCCAGTCATGCCTGCTGAGTCTGCCAATTACAGAGGGACCAGCCCCAAGTGATATTAGAGATGTACCTGGTCCAGAGATGGAAAATGCATGGCACACATACCACAGCACTCCTATGCCAGACCTCTGGCAGACAGTAATTGATCACAGTTCTTTCCTGCTAAGCCTAAAGATAGCCTCAGAAACATTCTGAACTTGGCACTCCAGATATCCAATAAAATAAACCAGAGTTGGCAAGCAAATTGAAACCTATTTACCACTCCGAACCTGGCTCATGCTCTGCTGTTTCTACCTGGAATACCAGTACCACTTAGCAAACAACTCAAGTGACAAAGAGAGGTGCCCAATTGGTTTATTTCCATACCGACCAGCCCAGTATTTTCTTTATCTTCCAGTCAGAAGCGAAGAGAAGCACTCTTCTCCCAAACTACATACCATAGCACAGTGAGGAGCAATAGTTACAGGCATAACTTTCTGCTTCAGACCAGAATAAATAGGATTTTAAGTCTTGAATAACTAATATATTATTTTCCAATAGACACTATGTATATGCTCCTATAAAATGGCAAGAAGAAAAAGGAAATGGTCAGGGTAATTCTGATTCCATTTCAAGCTGGGCATCTATGACTCAGGCCTATAATCCTACAGATACACAGGAGGCTAAGATACAAAGGATTGAGCTTGGAAATCAGCCTGGAAGAAAAGACAATGAGATTCCACTTCCAATTAACCAGCAAAAAGCCAGGCTGAATATGACTTAAGTGGTAGAACATGATCCATGAGCAGAAAGCCAAGTTAGTGTGAGGCATTGGGCTCAAGCCCAGTACCAGCAAAAAGAAAAACAATCCCAAAACAATCCCACAACTTCATCCAACTAAGAGTTTAGCTTGATCTGACTCAAAGACCAATGGATATAATTAATCAATATAGATAACCAATTTTTCATTGTCAATTTCTGATAGAAGCAAACTGAATCTTTTTCAGAGAATAGGCTTCAAGTCCATGCAATTATTGTGCACGAAGAGTGTTAACCTAGTGTCTTACTTTATTCTATTTCCAGAAATCGCTAGCAGGCAGATAACTCATCAGTGTACATAACATCAGCTAGTAGAGAGAACAATTAATAAAGCTGAATCTCAATCTAATTTGCTGTAACATCTTAATGTTTCCCAGTTTATCCATATACAAAATGGGCACAACAATCAGTCACAGGAATGATATAACATGGATGATCAAAATGTACAAAAGCATACCATCTGTCCTATAAAACTCAAGAGTCTAAATAAATTGTCATTTCTCATCTCTCCTGTTAGCTGTTCTAAAAGCCTCAGTGTACCAAAAGTGGTATTATTAAATTGAAGAAAGCAATAGGGTCTATCTCTCTAGCTGGGTAACATCCTCTCTCACCTCACTAAGGAAAAGCCCAAGATGGCTCCTCTGTGACCTGGGGGTGGGCAGAGATACCCTCCACACAAAAAAAGAATGAATTATCTCTATCCCATTCCCACTTCAGAGGGAGACAACAAGAAAGAGCAAAGGAAACACCTATGGATGTACTTGAAGTTCTTTGAAAGAAAGGTGCAGAAGTAAATCATCATTATACTTAACAACCATTCTCATGCATAATTATTATACCACCTTGAACAAAGTTGCAGCTTCCTGAAATCTCCCTTTGCTGTGTCTCCTATGCTACTATGGCAGAAGCTACAGCATATATCACTTCTTGCTCCTACTTTCTTAACTTTTGCCTTCAAAGGGAATGGAGGGGGTGGGGGAAGGAAGAGAACGATGGAAGGGGTGACATTTATCAAGATGCATTGTACTCATATAAAAACCTGACTTACAGAATTGAAACTTCTTTGTACAATTACATAGTAGTAATAATAATAAAGGGAACCTAACTATAGTTTTACCCTAGAGACTCCAGGCCTCAGCCTGACCAGCCATGAGGAGCAGGGAGTGAAACAAACTCTAGCTTTTCATGAGCCATTTGGACAAACGGAAACCTCCCAGCCCTCTCTAGAATCAAGTGAAGAGAGTAATTTTGTATTTTTCTGCATTTTAATTATTGGGATGTGGCCACACACAGCGGTAATTGGAACAATGCAACCACCACCCTGCAAGTGATACTCTGAGTCTGAGTTTCCTAAACAGGCCAGGCTGAGAGGGGGAACAGAACGGGGAAGCCATAAGGAATCAAACCAGGACACAAAAGAAGGTAAACCAGCTCCACAAGGGGCCTTTCTCAAGCAGGCACTGAAAAAAGTGTTAGAAGCCCTCTCTGGCCGCCTTCTTTCCCCTTCCATTTTGTGTATATGAGAGGTAGAGACAGCCCTGAGCAGTCACTAAACAAGTTAAAACTTCTCAGCCAAACAACTGGCACAGAGCTCAGCCCTTCACAGAGCAGCAGCAGGCCGCTAGGCCCTCCCAGGAACCCCACCAGGCCTAACTCTCAGTCTAGACGCTCCCTCCACCATAATCCTCCTAAAGATTGGACCCCCACACACACTGCATCTCCTATTGGATGTCATTAACCCCTGACACTCGTGTTTCAGGAATGCTGAGATTGTGCTGAGACCTGGACAACCGAGGATCAAGTCAAGCCAAGAGACAGGAGAATCACAAATGCCCTGGGGACCTTCCCCCAGGTACCAAGCCCCACCATCTCTTGGGAGAGACGGAAGAAAAACACGAGCAAGGCAAGGAGGTGCTAGAACAGGTAAGTGGGGAACTGACTGCTCTTCCTCCATATGGTTCTGGTGGGGTAGGAGTGACAAGTGGGTACCCCTCCCCCACCCCCACACACCCCGATGAAGAACCAAATGGCAAGGCCCCCTCCAAATCTTCAACCTCTCCCTCCGTTGCCCTGCCTGTCCCTGCGGGGTGGGGCATGAGGCGTCCACTGGTCCCTGGGAGGGGGTACGCCAGGGCTCACTAAAGGGATTCGCTCTCCTCTTCCCACTCAGGTTCCCTCATCTAGCCACGGGAAGCGAACTCAGGACGCCAGGGATGGGGAGGGTCTGGGACTTAGCACTCCCCCACCCCCTCCCCCCACCGGGTCCCGTGCTCTCCCCGCGGAGGCGGCCTGTGAGGCCCAGCCGCGCGGGCCGCTGGACTGGGGGAGGGGAAGGAGAGAAGGAGGGAGGGACGGTCGAGATGCCCGCCCCGAGGCCCCAACGCCACCTGCCCTCCGCCACCTACCGCGGCTCCTCCAGCTCCCAGGGCCGCGGCCGGAGCAGCTCTGAGCGCTCCTTTCGCCCCACGGTGCCCTTAAAAGGCGTCGGCGCGAACCAACAGGCCCCTGAGGAGAGTCTAAGTATCACTCCGTTTCGCAGAATACCCCCGAACCACCTGCAGAGGCCCGAGCGCAGGATCGCTCCTCTTTCAAAAGCCTTCCTACTATAGAGCCGAAGGGAACGAGCCTGGAGCTGTGATTTCGGGGTGGAGTGGTTTCCTCACTAGCGAGTCACCCCCTTTAAAATAGCCTGGAAAGTGGACGAGCCCAGTTAGAGGCATATCTTAAAACCCGCGGGGGAGGCCCCATCGGACGGAGGTAAACAAAGCCCTTGCCTCCTCTCCTCGTCCCTACATCGACACAGCTGAAACGCCTCATTCAATTCTGGCTACGTAACAGAATCAGCCACAGTGCCTCTCACCTGCTCTTCAGTCTCAACAGATAAGGCCACCTTTCTGAAAGAATTCCCCTATCCCCCCTCCCCCCAGGAAAGGACCGGTCCATAGCGTGAGGGCTGCTGGGAAATGTAGTCCAAGCGCCGATTAGGGCCTGCTCTGAGTACCTGGAGCCCCTCTTGCAGCTGCCGGATCGCTCGAACCTTACAAATCGCAGCATTTATTAAGGTTGCGGGGCATGCCCGCTTGATTCTTTAATTTTTCCCTTCCCCCAGGACAGTTTGGAAAGCTGAGGAGGGCCCAGGGGCTGTTTCACTCCCTCTGTGCCTCCCCCCCCACCTCCCGCCAGCGGGATGAGGTAATGGGATTGTGATTATGACATCATAGACAGTTCAGTTGCTTGGTGTGTGGGGGAGTACGGTGGTTACAGCTGGACCAGTTTCCTAAAGACGGAAGGGGAGGGAGGAAAACAGACGAGTGGGGAAACGAAATCGACAGCAATGTTATTTACTCTTCAGGAACAGGAAACCACCTTTATTAAGTCTACCACTACCACCACCTCCCACCTCAAAGTTTATTCCTTTTTAAAGAGACTTAAGACACAAGTGGATGAAAAGATTAGTTTCTGGCTCAGGTAAATTTGAGTTTCAGCTAGATCAAAGAGATGTGTGGGGGGGAGAGGTTTTAAACAATGCTTTCATATGATCTCTTTGACAGATTTCTTTTTTTAATTGGTTAGGAAGTAGAGCAAGTAATTCCATTGTTAACATTATCAGAAAGTCCCCTGAAAAACATGTTCATTCTAAATATTTTGTGCCTTACTCAAGTCTAAGACATAAGTGGAAAGTGAGTCAGTGGTGGGGATCTTCTTCAAAGAGATGGACAGAAGAGGAAACAGAAGCCTACAAGTCTGCACACTGAAAATGAAAAGTACAGAGAAAAAGTGAAGTGTTAAGAAAATGGTGGTGGAGATTAGATTTATTTTGCACTGCACATTGCCCTTTGGCAAAGATAAGGTACAAAGGCAGGAACCCTAAAGTGTACTCACATGAAGTATATTTCTGCAATTGCATATATTATATTATGTGCCAGGCATTGTCTATATACTTTAAATCTATCCTCATTTTGCTTACAATTACTTTAAAAAATCCCATTTGACAGATGAAACCCTATGTGATAGACTAGGGTTATATAAAAAGGCCTGATGTGGCTGGAAAGGTGGCTCAGTGGTAGAGCACTTGCCTTGCATGCATGAGGCTCTGGGTTCGATTCCTCAGCACCACATTAGCAGAAAAAGCCAGAAGTGGGGCTGAGGTTCAAGTAGTAAAGCGCTAGTCGGCAGCTGAAGAGCTGAGGGACAGCGCCCAGGCCCAGAGTTCAGGCCCCATGACCGAGGAAGAAAAAAAAAAAGCCTGAGACAACACTTTTGTTCTGTACCACTATCTATTCTCATTTTTGTTACTGACCATGCTTACTGAAATTAAATGTTTGCATAAAAGTTAACATTGACTCATTTGTAAAACATTGAAAGACAGGGAAAAACATACAACAGCGGGACCCATTAGCTGCACAGGACATTGACCAAAATGAACTAAGCAACTTAATGGCAGTAATGGGAGGGAGGGAACAAATAGGAAAGAGGAAACAGCTGATGCTATGCAAAACAAAAGAAATGTACATACCACCCAATGTGGAAGAAATAACTGTATCGCAAAGCTCATAGAACTCATAAATGTTATAGACCGTGATAGAAAAAAATAAATAATAAAAAAATTGAAAGAACCTAAGATACTTGAAAAAAATTGAAAAAATAAACATTCCAGCTGGATGCCAGTGGTTCACAACAGTAAAACCCAGCTATTCAGGAGGCTGATGTTATAGTATGAATCTAGCTTGGGCAGAAAGTCTTCAAGACTATATCTACAGGGCTGGGAATGTGGCTTAGTGGTAAAGTGCTTGTTTAGCATGCATGAAGCCCTGGGTTGGATTCCTCAATACCACATAAACAGAAAAAGTCAGAAGTGGGGCTATGGCTTAAGTGATAGAGTGCTAGCCTTGAGTAAAAGAGCTCAGGGACAGTGCCCAGGCCCTGAGTTCAAGCCCCAGAACTGGAAAAAAAAAAAAAAAAAGACTATTTCCAACTAACCAACAACAAAAGCTGTACTGGAATATAGCTCAACTAAGAGCATAAGGCCTAGAGTTCAAATACTGGACTGGCAAACATACAGTCTAAGTCATATTTCAGTTTTCAAAGGAAGGTTACAGCTCATCAAGAATACTGCCATGTGGGACTCATAATGAGTGTCTATAGCTAGACACTCATATAGACCTGGTGATACAGGTCTATAATCCAAGTTCTTAGGAGGCTGACACTGAAGGATCTCAAGTTCAAGAGCCTTTATAGATTTTTTTTGTCAGTTGTAAGGCTTGAACTCTCTGCCAGATCACTGTCCCCAAGCTCTTCAGCTCAAGGCTAGCACTCTACCAACTTGAGACACAGCACCACTTTCTGTTTTCTGAGTGGTTTATTGGAGATAAGAGTCTCAAGGTCTTCCCTGCCCCTCTGGCTTTGAACCCGGATCCTCAGATATCAGCCTCCTGAGTAGCTAGGATTATAGGTGTGAGCCACTGGTGCCTGGCTTTATAGATTTTTTTTTTGGTTGGTTGGGGGGCCTGGGTACTGTCTCAGCTCTTTTACTCAAGGCTAGTGCTCTGCCACTTATAAGCCACAGCTCCACTTGTGGTTTTCTGATGGTTAATTGAAGATAAGCATCTCACAGACTTTCCTGCCCAGTCTGGCTTTGAACCTCAATCCTCAGATGGCGGCCTCCTGGGCAGCTAAGATTACAGACTTTAGCCATCAGCCCCAGTTTAATTCTAGATTTTTTTTGGGGGGGGGGGTGTCATGGCTTGAACTCTGGGCCTGTGTGCTGTCCCTCAGCTCTTCATTGCTCTACCATTTGAGCCACAGTGCCACTTCTGGCTTTCTGGTGGTTTATTGGAGATGAGAGTCCCATGGACTTTCCTGCTCAGGCTGGTTTTGAACGTGATCCTCAAATCTCAGCCTCCTGAGTAGCTAGGTTTACAGGTGTGAGCCATAGATACCTGGCAATTCTAGATATTTTTAATTACGTTTTATGGGTCCATCATAGGGCTTGAACTCAGGGCCTGAGGGATGTCCCTGAGCTTTTTTACTCAAGGCTAGTGCTCTACCACTTTGGGCCACAGCACCATTTCCAGTTTTCTGGTAGTTAATTGAAGATAGGAGTCTCAATGACTTTCCTGCCTGAGCTGTCTTTGAACTGCAATCTTTAGATCTCAGCCTCCTGAATAATTAGGATTACAAGTGGGAGCCACTGGTGCCGGCAAATTATCTTTTTTGAGCTGGGATCTTGCTAACTAGCTCAAGCTGTGTAAGTAGCCCAAATTCACTATGTAACCCAGCCTGTGATCCTCTTGCCTCAAACTTTATTGTGCTGTGATGACAGGCATTTGCTACCAAGTCCAGTATAGTTCTCAAAATTTTTTGTCATGTCCTATTTTGTTTCTGCTCTTCCTTTATCTTTTATCCTTAAACTACTTCTTCTACCCCATCTAATTGTACCTTTGTGACTCAGACCCATCTGTAACCCTGACTCAAAGCTTTTGGTAGAGGATACTTACCTGTGTTCTGTTATGATCGTCATCCAGATTCTGAGTGGTCCAGAGCTTAAAGCCAGTCATCCTGGAGTATTCAAAAGGGTAGAATTCATTGCTCTAAGAGACTCTCCGTTCTTTGTCTAGAGAGGCAAAAGAATCAGAAAACATCAAGCAGATCTTCCCTTTCCATTCAATAAAAGTTAAGTTCTGTAATGTGGGAAATGGTAGAGCTCAGCTCACCACTCACGGGAGGAAATAAGGATAGTGAACATGCCCTTCAACCCCCTTGCCCTGCAGAGGCTGGCTTGGGGAGGGGGGGAGGTCCCAGTTACGCAGAGCTCTTCTCCACTGCCTGATCTGGGTATCCCAGGAATGATGGCTATACCTTCTATTCATGTTTGGTGTTCAAAGGTGCAGTCCTGGCTGTCGCTGTGTCCTGGTGACAAGTCTAGGTAAAGTTGAGAAAGAGACAATTCATTGTTTATCACAGTGAATAAAGGAGTCATATTCTCTAAGATGTAGGATCAGAAAAAAAGTGAATCAGTCTTCAAATCAGAGTGAACACTAAACTTCTCACTAATTTCCCTAACATTCTTTCTGCTGGATAGTTATCTTACAGCTCTCTCAGAAGTCAAGATATAAGACAATATTTGACATAACCTGGTGTGTGTGTGTGTGTGTGTGTGCGCGTGCGTGCTCGCGCACACGTACACACGTGGCACACACCCTCACATGCGTGCACATTTGTCCTGGGATTTGAACTCAGGACCTGGGCCCTGACCTAAGCTTTTGTATTTCTGCTCAAGGCTTATGTTCTACCACTTGAGTCACAGTTGCACTTCTGATGGGTTTTTTTTTGGTAATTAACTGGAGATAAGAATCTCTCAGCTAGACGCTGCTGGCTCCTGCCAGTAATCCTAGCTACTCAGGAGGCTGAGATTTGAGGATTATGGTTCAAGGCCAGCTTTGAGCAGGAAAGTCCATAAGACACTTATCTCCACTTAACCACCAGGAAACCAGAAGTGGCACAGTGGTTCAAGTTGTAGAGCACTCACCTTGAGCTGAAGAGCTGAGGGACAGTACCCAGGCCCAGAGTTCAAGCCCACTAGCTTGAACCACCACCACCACCACCACCACCAACAACAACAACAACAAAAAGAATGAAGAAGCAGGCTGGCTTCAAACTTTGATCCTCAAATCTCAGCTTCCTGAGTAATTAGGATTATAGACATGAGCCACTGGAGCCCAGCCTGATATATATATATTATATATATATAATATATATTATATATATACATATATATATAATATATATTATATAATATATACATATATATATAATATATAGTCAGTCGTGGGGCTTGAACTCTGGGCCTGGACACTGTCCCTGAACACTTCAGCTCAAGGTTAGTGCTCTGCCACTTGAGCCACAGTGCCACTTCCAGTGTTTTTCTGTTTATGTGGTGCTGAGGAATTGAACCCAGGGCCTCATGCATGCGAGGCAAGCACTCTATCACTGAGCCACCTTCCCAGCCCTGTTATATATTTAAAAGACATAATTTACCCTTTCCCATAAAAGAATGTTAGGGAAATTAGAAGTTTTGTGTTTCCTCTGATTTGAAGAGTTACTTTTTGTTGGATTGTTCTCAGAAACTTATTTTTGAGATTAAAGTACAGGAGAATTAGTAATGCTGTGCTTCTATCAGAACAGTCTGACACTAGTATCTTTCCATCACCTGATATTGGACTAGAACCATTTGGTTGACATCTTTATTGTGACCACTCATAACAGTACTCACTTGGGGACCTGCTGCAAAAAGCACTGTTAACCAGGTGTGCACTTGCCATAATCTATCTGCTTCTGACGTCTCTGAGACAGCTTCATCTGTCTCAATTTCCCACCTGCAAGAGATACATACTATAGGGGCTGGGAAGGTGGCTCAGTGGTAGAGTGCTTGCCTTGCATGCCTGAGGCCCTGGGTTTGATTCCTCAGCACCACATAAGCAAAAAGAAAAAAGCCGGAAGTGGCACTGTGGCTCACGTGGTAGTGTGCTAGCCTTGAGCTGAAGAGCTGAGGGACAGCGCCCAGGCCCAGAGTTCAGGCCCCATGACCGAACACCCCCCCCCCCAAAAAAGAGATACATACTATTGAAGTTATCAAAGCAGAAATCAACCAATCCCACATTCCCTAACTCCCCAGCTTGATTTTCAAACTTACCTGTCATGACAAGGCTCTGTGCTGACTCCTACACTCACCATCTCTATCCTAGAGCACAAAGACTTTCCACACATCTTTCTGAGGAAGTAGTTTCTACAGATGAAAAAGCAATGATACAATGAACACTTTCCTATCATCACCCAACATTGATGGTCAATGTCTCATTTATGTGCATACCATCCTCATAGTACTTCAAAATAAATCTTCAGAGCTGGGCGTGGTGGCTCACGCCTGTAATCCTAGCTATTCAGGAGGCTGAGATCTGAGGATCATGGTTCAAAGCCATCCTAGGCTGGAAAGGCTGTGAGACTCATCTCCAATAAACCACCCAGAAAACCAAAAGTGGTGCTGTGGCTCAAGTGGTAGAGTGCTAGCCTTGGGCTAAAGAGCTGAGAGACAGCTCTCTGACCAAAAACAAAAAAAACAAAAACAAAAACCTTCAGGGGCTGGAAAGATGGCTTAGTGGTAGAGTTTGTGCCTAGCGTGCATGAAGCCCTGGGTTTGATTCCTCAGTACCACATAAACAGAAAAGGCTGGAAGCGGCACTGTGGCTCAAATGGTAGAATGCTAGCCTTGAGCAAAAGCTCAAGGACAGTGCTCAGGCCCTGAGTTCAAGACCCAGGACTGGTCAAAAAACAAACAAAAATTTCAGGTGTCAGTGGCTCACACTTGTACTCCTAGCTGTTCAGGAGGCTGAGATCTGAGGGTCGAGGTTTAAAGCCAGCAGAGGCAGGAAAGTCCATGAGACTCTTGTCTCCAATTAACTCCCCAAAAGCTAGAAGTAGAGCTGTGGTTCAAGTGGTAAAGTCCTTGCCTTGAGTGGAAAAAGTTCAAGAACACACACACACACACACACACACACCCTCAACACACACACACACACACACACACACACACACACACACACACACACACACACACACACACACCCTCAACCCAAATATTTGTAGGGCTGGGAATGTAGTAGTTCAGTGACTGTTTAGCATGTCGCAGCACTATAAAGTATAATAGTAATACAATGAACCCTGTTTGGGGGAAGAGGGAATGGAAATAAGAGAGTGATGGAGGGGATAAGATGGACTGGAATATATTTAAACATGTGGAAATGTAGTAATGAACCCCACACCCTGGTATAATTAATGTAAGCTAGAAAATGAGGATGAAATAATTTTCTAAGTACCACTTTATCAATGTTCAAATTTCTATAAATAGCCAAGCCTTAATATTTTCTCCTTCCCACAAACTTAAAAGCGAAGTCAGGGCCTCGGCGTTATTGTCAAGCACTCTTACCATTTGAGCTACACCTCAGTCCTGAGGTTCTTTGGACTGGCAATGAAGGATTACGATAAAAGGGTGTGTCAACTCTCTTATTTCCCCAGAGAAAGAATTTCTCTTTACCCACATAACCTGGCGTTCGTGAGTTTTACTAAGAGTCATCCAACCCGGTTGACGCTCAGCATAAACACACACAGCTGTCTCGCCCTAACACCTAACAAACCAGCTGCAAATGCTCCATATCCAGCGGAAGGCTACCAAAATAAAGCGAAATAACGCGAGGGAGGGGAAAAAAGCAAATAAAAAGAAACACTCTCCACTCCAAATAACCCTTCCTAGCAGCATCCAAGGGAGTGATAGTCTTTAGCGGGCAGCAATTTAAATCTCCCGGGGTTGGTTGGGCCTCAGGGAGAGTACAAGAAGTGGGTGGTGATTGGTCAGAGGAGAGCCAATGGTGCTCCAGGCTCCCTGCGGATCTACGCGCACTTCAGTAGACTGGCAGCTAGAGGACCCATCGTCATCCCCGGGGGCGGGACAAATCCAGTCCCTTCCAAAGAAAGGTCAAGCCCTTAAAATAAAAGCTCACGCCCCCCAAAATATAAATATACGGACCTAAGGATTGGCTACGGCTGGAGGGCGGGATCTAGGAGCGCACGCGGAGATTGGTTGACGCAAACTACAGGCCGGTGGGGATAGGTTGTAGGGAGGGCGGAAGGTTTGAATGCATTCGTCTTCTGGCTGTAGAGTTGAACTTTGCCTCTTTTTCCCTCCGATTTTCCTTTTCCTTTTTTCTTTTTCGCTTGTATCTTTGCTTGTGTTCAGTCCCTGCACATTTCCTTTCCCTAAAGGCAAATCTGACTCCAAACGAGGTAAGCTCGCAGCCACGAAAGCTTGGAGACTCGGTTGGCGCCGAGGGCTCAGTAGGAGCCAGCTGCCCAGTGCACCTGGAGTTTCGGTCAGGAGTGTCGAGCTGTTTGCCCCAAAGCAAGAAAACTTCCACTTTCGTTCAATTTTGAGTTTTTTTTTTTTTTTTTTTTTTTGCTTAAGGCTAGCGCTCTACTACTTGAGTGACAGCTCCACCACTACCGACTTTTTATTTTTTATTTTTTTTTGCTTTTGATTGGAGATAAGAATCTCATGGACTTTACTGCCTGGGTTGGCTTCGAACCGTGATCCTTAGATTTCACCTTCCCGAGTAGCTAGGATTACAGATGTGAACTACTGGCGCCTGGCCTGCAAGTGCAATTTTGAACCTTCAAACCAAATCGTGATTCATTGGAGGAGTTTCTCCTCCAGTTTCGATCGTTGGCCTTGCTGGAAAGAGTGGGGGAGATTGGAAAAGCTGAACCGTTTGTGATGTTCTTCTCTTAGCTGGGTTTTCTGTTTTCTTGGTAAAGCACTGGAGACCATGTCTACAGAACACTCATCCACAAGAGAGGAGGAAAGCTCTGGCCAAGGATCTCGTTTTAAGTCTAAACAGAGGAAGATGTTACACCTTCTCTTGGAGAGAGACACTTCCTTCACCATCTGTTCAGATCTCCCCAGGTCTGCTGATTCTGCAAACCTAAGCATTTTGTCTGGGTAAATCCACTTTTATTTTTATTTTTTATTTATTTATTTATTTTTGGGTCCGGTCGTGGGGCCTAAACTCTGGGCCTGGGCACTGTCCCTCAGCTCTTCAGCTCAAGGCTAGTACTCTACCACTTGAGCCACAGCACCACTTCCGGCTTTTTTTCTTTTTGCATATGTGGTGCTGAGGAATCGAACCCAGGGTCTCATGCATGTAAGGCAAGTGCTCTACCACTTGGCCACCTTCCCAGCCCCCACTTTTATTTTTATACCTTGTCTCCTTTACCTTTTCCAACATGTTTATCCTAGTTCACAGATCAGGGTTTAAAGTCCCAGCTTTGCCCTTGTCTGTGTGCTCCTTTGCCTTGAGCTACTGTTCTGTGAAACAGAAGTAATACTAGTTTCCTGTCTTAGTAGGAATAATGTCTTCCTACCTTGTGAGAATTAAATTGTGGTGTCTGGAAAAAAAAAGTCTGAAACATCTGTTACATTATATGACTTGGTCTCTTTAGTGTTATTGTGCTTTAAATTCTGGTCTTGTTATGTTGTTATACATCACTAGCAAATAACTATTTTTGAAAATTAGTAGGGACTCCAGGGAGAAATCAAATATCTTGTTCATGGTAAACAGGACAGAGAGAATGTGAGGTGAAGATCCCACTCAGTCAACAAACTTTGACCCTCATTGAAAATAATTTTTTTTAAAGAGGGCTGGAGGCATGGCTCAAAGTAAGCTCAAACCTCTGTACTACCACAACCATAAAAAAGTTTTTTTCTCCCGGGCGCTGGTGGCTCACGCCTGTAATCCTAGCTACTCAGGAGGCTGAGATCTGAGGATCACGGTTCAAAGCCAGCCCGGGCAGGAGAGACCCTGAGACTCCTACCTCCAATAAACCACCAGAAAACCGGAAGTGGCGCTGTAGCTCAAGTGGTAGAGCGCTCGCCTTGAGCTGAAGAGCTAAGGGACAGCGCCCAAACTTTTTTTCTGGGGCTGGGTAGTTGGCTCAGTGGTAGAGTGCTTGCCTCGGATGCATGAGGCCCTGGGTTCGATTCCTCAGCACCACATAAGCAAAAAAAGCTGGAAGTGGCACTGTGCCTCAAGTGGTAGAGCACTAACTAGCCTTGAGCTGAAGAGCTGAAGGACAGCGCCCAGGCCCAGAGTTTAGGCCCCACGAAGCAAAACAAACAACAAAAAAAAGTTTTTTTCCAATGACATAAAAGCAATTAAATGTATTTGAATAGTGTTTATATTTTGCAAGTCATGGAGATAATCATGGAGAGGTATTTCAAATGAAGATCACAGGCCTTTGCTTTTTAAAGGATATTATATACTAATGAGGATCTTGGTAAATTATTATATCTCAACAGAGGAACCCCAAAACGTTGCCTTGATCTTTCGAATCTTAGCAGTGGGGAGATGTCTGCCACTCAGCTTACCACTTCTTCAGACCTTGATGAAACTGGTAGGGAGAAGGAAGGTAAAGGGCTTAGTGGGAAGAATATCTTTTTAAGGAAAAGATAGGATAGATAGATATGCAAGTTGGTAAAAGTAGAGATCCTAACTAGATAGCTGGAATTTTGTGGGTTACCAGGATGTTTTAGTGGAATGATTAAGTCTATGGGAAAAGAAAAATACTAATAGGTGTTGTACTGCATTTGAAAAAGGCTCAAAGACTAATATTGACTAATTACAAACAAAATTTGACTAATTACTGGCAGGAATGAATGAATAAAGATATGAGAAGTTTTTATGCCTTAGTTTTATCTCATTAGAGGCAAAGAAACCAACAGTAAAAAAAAACCCTCTGGCACTGGTGGCTCACACCTGTAATTCTAGCTACTCAAGGAGGCTGAGATCTGAGGATCAAAGCCATCCTGGGCAGAAAAGTCTATGAGACACTTATACCCAATTATCCACCAAAAATCCAGATGTGGAACTGTGTCTCACAGAGAGAGGTCAGTCATATTGTGGTTCCAGGCTACTCTAAACAAAAAGTTAGTAAGACCACCTGCTTCCACATCAACTAATAAGCTGTGCATGATGGCATGCACCTGTCATCACAGCTATGGCAAGAAAGAGCATAAATAGGAAGATCATGGTATAGCCAAGCCCAGGCATAAACATGATACTCTGTTTGAAAAATAATTAAAAGGAAAAAGGGCTCAGTGCTTGGCTTAAGAGGTAAAGTACTTGCTGGCAAAGCCCTGAGTTCAAACCCCAGTACTGCTGGCAGGGGTTGGGGTGGGTGGAAGAAAAGATAGACTTTGATGACTAGATTTATAGGTTTGTGCCCAAAAGGAATGCTCACTAGTCAATCATTGTAATATTTGTTTAATTTCTCTCCTTTCCTTCCCTTTCTCTTTGCTTTTTCTTCTTTCTTTCCTCTTTTCTCCTTTCCTTCCTTCCTTCCTTTTTTTTTTTGGGTCCAGTTGTGGGGCCTGAACTCCAGGCGTGGGAGCTGTCCCTCAGCTCTTCAGCTCAAGGCTAGCACTCTATCACTTAAGCTACAGTGCCACTTCCGGCTTTTTCCTTTTTGTTTATGTGGTGCTGAGGAATCGAACCCAGGGCCTCATTCATGCAAGGCAAGCACTCAACCACTGAGCCACCTTCCTTCCTTCCTTTCTTCCTTCCTTTCTTTCTTTCATTTTTAAAAAAAAAATTTTTTTTTTGGTCCAGTCGTGGGGCCTGAACTCGGCCTGAGTGCTGTCCCTCAGCTCTTCAGCTCAAGGCTAGCGCTCTACTACTTGAGCCACAGTGCCACTTCCGGCTTTTTTCTTTTTGCTTATGTGGTGCTGAGGAATCGAACCCAGGGCCTCAGGCATACAAGGCAAGCACTCTACCACTGAGCCACCTTCCCAGCCCCTCTTTCTTTCATTTTTATTTTTGTCAGTTGTGGGGCTTGAACTCTGGGCCTGGGCACTGTCCCAGTGCTTCAGCTCAAGGCAAGCGCTTTACCCCTTGAGCCACAGCACCACTTCCGGTTTTCAGGTGTTTTATTGGAGATAAGAGTCTCACAGACTTTCCTGTCCTGGCTGGCTTTGAACCGAGATCCTCAGATCTCAGCCTCCTGAGTAGCTAGGATTACAGGCGTGAGCCACCATCACTTGGCTTGTTTCTTTCTTTCTCTCTTTCTGCTGTATTGGGGCTTGAAACTCAGGGCCTTGTTCTCTCAGCTTTTTCACTCATGCCTGGCAATCTATCCCTTTGCCACACCTCTTGTTCTGACTTTTTGCTGGTTAATTGAGGATGAATCTCGAGTATTTGTCTGCCTGGGCTGGTTTGAAAACTTGATTCTTAGCTTTTAGTCTTCTGAGTAGCTGGAATTATAGGTATGAGGCATTGGCATCTGGCTAATTTCAGATTTAAAAAAAAAATTTTATTGTGAAAATACTGTACAGAAGGGTTACAATTACATGGGCAAGGTTTAGGTTTTTTTTTTTTTTTTTGGGTCCGGTCGTGGGGCCTGAACTCTGGCCTGGGCACTGTCCCTCAGCTCTTCAGCTCAAGGCTAGCGCTCTACCACTTGAGCCACAGCGCCATTTCCGGCTTTTTTCTTTTTGCATATGTGGTGCTGAGGAATCGAACCCAGGGCCTCAGGCATGCAAGACAAGCGCTCTACCACTGAGCTACCTTCCCAGCCCAAGGTTCAGATTTTTTTGAGTGATAAATTTTCTATTCTACTTAAGAAACGAAACCTACATAGGTTTACATAGTGTGCTGTTATTCAACATTTTTTTCTTTTGATGACACATGTAAATTCTTAAGTTCTCATGGTGTTCTACCTTGTATCTTGGTACTTTATTCCATGAAATGGGTACTAGTTGAGAAGCTTTGTGTTCAAGAGTGGGGTGCCACTGGCTCAGGCCTATAATCCTCACTATTCAAGAGGCTAAGATCTGAGGATCCTGGTTCAAAGCCAGCCCAGGCAGAAAAGTCTATGAGACTCTTATCTCCGTATAACCACCAGAAAACCAGAAGTGGCGCTGTGCTCAAGTGGTAGAGCACTATCCTTGAGCTGAAGAGCTCAGGGCAGTGTCCAGGCCCAGAGTTCAAGCCCCGTGACTGACAAAAAGAAAAAAGAGTTCAGCCTTAGAAATTACTGTGGCTTACTGGTAATGAAGAAAATCAGAGGAATGTAGGATGCATGCACAAGAATAATGTCTTCCTCTTCATATCTATCTGTTGTAGGTCTCTTGCATTCTTCAGGACCTCTGGAAGTACAGTTAGCTGGAATGTAAGTTTTGTTGCTAAATGAATCCCTGCTAAAGCCTTCCAGCACCAATCAAGGAATTTTATCCTTGATTTATCTGCAGAATACAAAACATTTCCTTTAGGGTATAAGTGGGCTTCAAGGGCTAGATTCTAACCTTGAATAGCTTTTAAGTTATCCTGATCTAAATGGTGTTGTGAAATGAAAGCTATTCTCATGCACAATGAAAATTATCTTTAAAAACAATGTAGAAAAATGGCAGACTACACTGCTGCAAATGCTTAGTGACTAAGGGCTCAGGGTCTAGAATGAGGGAGTTTGGGCTCACTAATTCAAATATGACTGACAAGTTTCTTGGACTGCAATTTCTTTATTCATAACATGGAGATAACACTTCTCATAAATATTATTGCAATGATTACATGAAAATGTACCAACACACACCAGATACTTTATTTATTTATTTATTTGTTTGTTTATTGTACTGGTACAAGACCTTAAACTCACGGTCTCAAGCTCTCCCTCAGTTTTCTTGCTCAGAGCTAGAATTTTACCACTTGAGCCATACCTCCATTATAGCATTTTGCTTGTTAATTGAAGATAGAATCTGTTAGGCATTTTTTTTTTTTGTCACTCCTGGGGCTTGAACTCAGGGCTTGGACACTGTCCCTGAGCTTCTTTTGCTCAAGAGCACTCTACCAGTTGAGCCACAGCACCACTTCCAGATTTTTCTAAATATGTGGTACTGAGGAATACAACCCAGGGCTTTATGCATGCTAAGTGAGCACTCTACCACTAAGCCACATTCCCAGTCCTCTGTTGGGCTTTTCTACATGGAGTGGCTTTGAACCAAGATCCTCAAACTCAGCTTCCTTAGTAGCTTGAGCCACTAGTGCTCAGCTCCAGCATTTTATGTCTGTTATTAGAACTATGATTTCCTTTCTGGAAATCATAAAATGTAAAGAATACACACTCATCTTAAACTCTTTTTTAAAGTTATTGCAAATTAGTCATTTAAATCTTTTTAAAAGCCAGGTACTGGTGGCTCTTGTCTGTAATCTTAGCTATTCAGGAGGTTAATATCTGAGGATCGTGGTTCAAAGCCAGTCTGGGCAGGAAAATCTGTGAAACTCTTATCTCCAATTAACCACTTCCAGAAAACTGGAAGCAGAACTGTGGCTCAAAGTGGTAGAGCACTAGTCTTGAGCAAAAGAACTCAGGGACAGCACCCATGCCCTGAGTTCAAACCCCACAACCAACCTCCCAGAAAATCTTTGTTTTCAGATGTGCCATTTTAGTGTATAAGGGAAGGCTTTCTATGACTATTTAATTTGCATCACCTCTACTGTCTTTGAATTGCTTTAAATGTCCTAACTGTGTAGCCTAGATGAAATCCTAGAGGGGATGATATCATATATACATAGATAGATAGATATGATATCATATATAGATATATATATCATATATAGATAGATAGAACTTATATATATAATTAGTCTCCAATAGTCAATGTGAATAATAGTCAAGACTAGTAAATTGTATATATAGAAGAAGTAAGCAGCTACTCAGGATGTTGAGATCTAAGGATTGTGGTTCAAAGCAGCCTAGGCAGGAAAATTTGTGACACTCTTATCTCCAATTAACCACCCAAAAAGCTGGAAGCGGAGCTGTGGCTCAAGTAGTGAGGGATAACCTTGAGCAAAAGAAGCTCAAGGACAGTGCCTAGGCCCTGAATTCAAGCACCAGTACTGGCACGTGCACTCATGCACACATGCATGCGTGCGTATGTACACACACACACATACACACACAGAAGTATATAGTAAGTCAAATGGTGAAAAATGCTACAGAATGCCAGGTGCCAGAGACTCAGATCTATCTATAATCCTAGCCACTTTGGAGACTGAGAACCGGAAAGTAAGTTCTAAGCCATCTTAGGCAGAAAAGTTCATTAGATTTTCCTCTCCAAAATAACTGGCAAAAAACAAGCTGGAGGCATGGCTCAAATGGTAGAGTGCCAGCTGAACAAGTAAACAGAATGAGCTAATGAGCTTGATGCCCTGAGTTGAAACCCTAGTACTACACATACAAACATACACACACAGAGTCAAGGCCATTGAAACCCTCATTCATCTTTGATGCCCATCTATATATGTAGGTATAAAACTGAAATGAAGCTGGGCACCATGGCTCATACCTGTAATCCTAGCTACTCAGAAGGCTGAAATTTGAGGATCACAGTTCAAAGCCAGCCTGGGCAGGAAAGTCTGTGAGACTCTTATCTCCAATAAACCACTTAGAAAACCGGAAGCGGTGCTATGGTTCAAGTGGTAGAGTGCTAGCCTTGTGCTAAAATGCTAAGGTACAGTGCCCAAGCCCAGAGTTCAAGCCCCATGACTGACCAAAAAAAAAAAAAAAAAGTAATGGGGCTGGGAAGATGGCTCAGTGGTAGAGGGCTTGCTTTGCATGCCTGAGGCCCTGGGTTCGATTCCTCAGCACCACATAAGCAAACAGAAAAAAGCCGGAAGTGGCGCTGTGGCTCAAGTGGTAGAGCGCTAGCCTTGAGCTGAAGAGCTGAGGGACAGTGCCCAGGCCCAGAGTTCAGGCCTCACGACTGGACCAAAAAAAAAAAAAGTGAAATGAGTGCTTTTGTGTGTGTTAGTGTGTGCCGTGCACACAAGTGTGTGCTAGTATTGGGCCTCAGGGCCTCCTCTAATTTTTTTCTTAAGGGTGATATTCTACCATTTGAGCCACACTTCCATGCTTTTGCTTGTTAATTGGAGATAAGAGTCTCATGGACTTTTCTTGCCTAGCTGGCTCTGAACCTTGATCCTCAGATTGGAACCTCACAAGTAGCTAGGATTATAGGAATGAGTTACTTGCGCCTATATTTTTTTTTGAGGGGAGGAGGGCATGGTGGATATACTAGGGCTTGAACTCAGGACTTTCGCACTCTTACTTGCTTGTCTTTTTTCATTCAAAGCTCTTATTCTCTATCACTTTAGCCACACCCTACTTCCAAAATGAGTGATTTTTCTCCAAGACATCTTTTTTTTTTTTGGTCCAGTCGTGGGGCCTGAACTCTGGGCCTGGGCGCTGTTCTTCAGCTCAAGGCTAGCGCTCTACCACTTGAGCCACAGCGCCACTTCCAGCTTTTTTCTTTTTGCTAATGTGGTGCTGAGGAATCGAACCCAGGGCCTCAGGCATGCAAGGCAGGTGCTCTACCACTGAGCCACCTTCCCAGCCCTCTCCAAGACATCTTTGGAGTTCTTTTTATTTTATTTTTGTACCAGTTCTATGGCTTGAATTCAGGGCCTGGGCATTGACACTTAGTTTTTTTGCTCAATGTCTCTACCACTTGAGCCACAGCTGTGCATTTAGATTTTTGGTGGTTAATTAGAGGTAAAAGTCTCATGAATTTTCTAGCCTAGGTTGGATTTGAATCCCAGTCCTCAGAAGTCAGCCTCATGAGCCACTGTTACCAAGTTTTTTTTGTTTTTGTTTTTCTGGTCTTAGGGCTTGAACTCAGGGCCTGGATTCTGTCCCTGAGCCGATTTGTGCTCAAGGCTAGCACTCTACCACTTGAGTCACAATCCCACTTCTGGTTTTTTATGAGTAGTTTATTGGAGATAAGAATCTCATAAACTTTGTCTCAACCTCCTGAGTTGCTACGATTACAGGCATCAGCCACCAGTACCTGGCTTGAATTTTTATATTTACCATTAAAAGTACTTTATGTATTGTTTCTGAAAAGAAACCAATTATGATTATGGCTCCTAGAATGGACAAATGAAAAAATTGGCATGTCTCAACAGCTTAAAAAAATAACCAAACAAGCAAGGCGCCAGTGGCTCACGCCTGTAATCCCAGCTACTCAGGAGGCTGAGATCTGAGGATTCTGGTTCGATGCCAGCCTGGGCAAGAAAGTGTGAGACTCCTATCTCCAAAAAACCACTAGCTGTGGCTCAAGTGGTAGAGCAGAGGCCTTGAGCAGACAAGCTCAGGGACAGCACCAAGGCCCAAAGTTTGAGCCCCATGACCAAAATCAAACAAAAAACAAAAAAACCAAACAGTATTTAAGGCTTACCTAACCCATGCTTTGTTTTAATCTGCAGGAATCATCGCCAAGATCTTATGAAAGGCAACATAGTGAGTAGCCCCTTTTTTGTGGGCTTGAGTTTGTTTCTTGGCTAAGAGGCAGAAGGTTTCTAACATATCTATGACTTATGAATGCTGAACGTGTCTTTTAGGCACAGCTTCTTTGTAGCACACCAAATGCTTTGGATCATGACCTTCGAAAGAAAGATTTGATGTGTAGTTTATCTACAAATAAAGAAAATGTGAGTATTTAATGGAAACATAGGAATACTAGTGGGTTTTCCCCCCTTTGATTGAACTCATTTTATGAGACCTAAAGTTCTGTGTGTATATATATATATATCTCAGTATTTTAGAAAAACTGGAGGAGGGAATCTTTTCTTTGTTGTTTTTTTTTGTCAGTTGTGGGGCTTGAACTCTGGGCTTGGGCGCTGTCCCTCAGCTCTTCAGCTCAAGGTGAGCGCTCTACCCCTTGAGCCACAGCGCCATTTCTGGTTTTCTAGTGATTTATTGGAGATAAGAGTCTCAAGGACTTTCCTCAGATCTCAGCCTCCTGAGTAGCTAGGATTACAGGTGTGAACCACCAGCACCTGGCTGTTTTTTTTTTTTTGTTTTGTTTTTTGTACAGACCTTTTCTGCTTGTCCTAGACATATACTAGTTAGTGCAAAATAAGAGAAACCATGGGACTTATGTTTATCTGGGCCTGGCTTACTTCACTTAATATAATTTTTTCCATGTCTTTCCATTTCCTAACAAATGTCATTCTTTCTAGTTTTTTTTTTTGGTCGTGGGACCTGAACTCTGGGCCTGGGTGCTGTCCCTCAGCTCTTCAGCTGTAGACTAGCACTTTACTACTTGAGCCTCAGCCTCACTTCCGGCTTTTTCTGCTTGTGTGGTGCTGAGGAATCAAACCCAGGGCCTCATGCATGCAAGGCAAGCACTCTACCACTGAGCCACCTTCCCAGCCCCTTAAAATGCCATTCTTTCTGATGGAGGCATAGAATTCCATTGTATACATATACCACATTTTCTTGATCCATTCATCTTCTAAGGGGCATCTGGGTTGGTTCCATATTTTAGTTATGGTTATTATTATGATGATTATTATTATTTTACATCGGAAAGATACACGATTGTGTTTGGCTCTTTTCATCAGCCTTTCCTTCCTTTTGTGTTTTGTTCATCAAGGGGCTTGAACTCAGGGTCTGGGCACTGTCCCTGAACTCTTTTGCTCAAAACTAGTTCTCTACCACTTTGAGCCACAGCTCCACTTTTGTTTTTTTGGAGGTTAATTGGAGATAAGAATCTCACGGGGAGGGGCTGGGAAGGTGGCTCAGTGGCAGAGCGCTTGCCTTGCATGCCAGAGGCCCTGGGTTCGATTCCTCAGCACCACATAAACAAAAAGAAAAAAGCTGGAAGTGGTGCTGTGGCTCAAGTGGTAGACTGCTAGCCTTGAGATGAAGAGCTGAGGGACAGCGCCCAGGCCCGGAGTTCAGGCCCCATGACCGGACCCAAAAAAAAACCAAACAAGAAAAAACAAAGAATCTCACGAGGATTTTCTTGACCATGCTGGCTTTGAACCTTGATCCTCAGATCTTAGCCTCTTGAGTAGTGAGGATTACAGGTATGAGCCACCAGTACGCAGCCTGATTAGGCTTTTCTCTCTCTCTCTCTTTTTTTTATTTTTGGTTAGCCTTTTCTTGATGTAGTACTATAGGTATTGTCTCTCTTTATAATCATCTTTTACCAATTCATCTCAAGCTGGTTTTTCCCTTTCTGTCCTTTTTGCTTGTGATAATAAATTAGTATCCTCTTGAACAAATAAACATGCCAGATATCAAATTCATATTATTTTTATTTTTATTTTGTTTATTTATTTTTGTGGGTCATGAGGCTTGAACTCTGGGCCTGAGTACTGTCCTTCAGCTCTTCAGTTCAAGGCGAGCACTCTACCACTTGAGCCACAGCCCCACTTCTGGCTTTTTCTGTGTAGTGTATTGGTAATAAGAGTCTCACGGGCTTTTCTGCCTGGGCTGGCTTTGAACTGTGATCCTCAGATCTCAGTCTTTTGAGTAGCTAGGATTACAGGCATGAGCTACTGGCGCCCAGCTATTTGTAGCTTTAGAATATACGTTTAATATGATTTATAAGTGTTAGGAAAATGGAGGAGAATGGAAAGAAATAGGTGGGACTCGATTATTAACAGGCTAAGAAAGTTTGTTGCCAGCAAGGGGCACATACCTTCCCCCGGGTTTTGGAGGTTGTGTGAGGGACTGGATTTGGGGCTGTGTTTAAATGGGCCTTAACAAGGAAGCAGAAAATAAAAAATGGGCTGTGGTCTCGTGGGGGCCAAGCTGTGATGTTCTTGGCCAGGCCCTGAGTGAATACTGTGCCTGAAGTGAGGGGGTTTTCAGCTAAGCCAAGGTCAGAGTGACCTGCATGCTTAGACAAGCACGTGAGCCAGCACCTGGTGCCTTGCTTGACCTGGGGGAATAGGCAGGAGTCAGTCCTTCATATTCCATCTTTAGATACATAAAAAGATTGAGCTGAGGGGCTGGGAAGGTGACTCAGTAGTAGAGTGCAGTTTTTCTTATTCAGGAAAACACCACTTTAAAATCCTTGGAGTGGCAAGCATCTAGAAACCTGAGGTTTCAAAGAAGACTAGGGGAGCTTCATGTGTCTCCCCTTTCTCTGCTGGTGAGTCATTGAATATGATCCTCAACAGTAAATTGGGGTACCATGAGCATTGTATAGCAACTCTGGATTTATAACTGACTTTTTCTAAGCTGAAAAGAGGTTGGACAAGTAAAGTTAGAGTAGAGGAAAAATAAGAACCAGATGTCTTCTAATTTTTTTATTTACATTTAATAAGGAAACTTTTTTTTTTTTTTTTTTTGGCTAGTCCTGGGCTTTGAGCTGAGGGCCTGGACTCTGTCCCTGAACCTCTCTGTGGCTCAAGGCTATCACTCTACCACTTGAGCCACAGCACCACTTCCAGCTTTTTCTGCTTATGTGGTGCTGAGTAATTGAACCCAGGGCCTCTGCATGCAAGGCAAGCGCTCTACCACTAAGCCACCTTCCCAGCCCCAGGAAACATTTTTTTCCTAAGCCCTTTTTTCCCCTTTTGTTTCTTTTTCTTCTTCTTAATCTTTTTTTGAAATTTTGTTATTGTTGTCACCCATACTAGCTTTGAATTCCTGTGTTCTTGAACTCGTTATCTTTCTGATTCAGCTGTGGTGACAGTTCCTCTCTCACTCCCTCCTTCCTTCTTTCCTCTCAATCTTCCTTGCTTCTTGTATCAGTTTAAACTCAGAACCAGAGTGCCTGAGTTAGTCAGGCACTCTACTGCTGAGCCACATCACCAGCCATTTTTTGTCCTAGTTAGTGTGTGTGTGTGTCTGTGTATGCATGTGCGCATGTACTTGAACTCAGACAACTCTACTTCTTAATTCATGGCTGGTACTACCACTTCAGCCACACACTCCTTCCCTTGCTGGCTAATTGGAGATAAGAGTCTTGTGGACTTGACTTTTCTTCCCTGTCTGGCTTCAAACCTCCATCCTCAGATCTCAGCCCTTCCTGTAAGCTAAATGTGAGCCACCAGTGCTACCAGTGTCCAGCCTGCTTCCTTCTTTCCTTTCTTTGTTTTTCTGCCCCAGCTACAAGCTAGAATTATAGGTGTGTGCCACGGCTTCTTTATTCTTTTTCCTCTTCATAGTGAAAGCGGTATGTGCTCATTATGAAAGTGGCTTTAAAAGTATAGGAAAGAGAGCTGGGAAGGTGGCTCAGTGGCAGAGCGCTTGCCTTGCATGCATGAGGCCCTGGGTTCGATTCCTCAGCACCATATAAGCAAAAAGAAAAAAGCCGGAAGTGGCGCTGTGGCTCAAGTGGTAGAGCGCTAGCCTTGAGCTGAAGAGCTGCGGGACAGCGCCCAGGCCCAGAGTTCAGGCCCCATGACCAGACCTCCCTCCCCCCCCCCAAAAAAAAAAACAAAACAAACAACAACAAAAGTATAGGAAAGACAAAGCTACTACCTAAAAATAGAATTAATGTTACCTAATTTAATGTGGCTTTACAAAGCTAAGGTCATATTGAATATACAATTTTTTAAAATTTTGTTTGTACTTTTTGAGGCATGGTCTTTCTATGAATCTCAGGTTGGCCTCTAACTAAAAAATTCTGCTTTGGCCTCCCTCATACTTCGATTACAGGTATATACCACTATGCCCAGCTCCAGACATAAAATTTGATGTCTTACTTTTTTTTTTTGGTTTCGTTTTCGTGCTGGGGATGGAAGCAGGACATGAAACATGCTAAGCTGTGTTCTACCAGTAAACTATATCTCCAGGCCATTTGTTTCTGTTTTCTAATATTGCAAACTTTAGGGGTTTTTTTTTGTACTTTTGTATGAATATGTGTTTTGGATGAATATATTTTTTCTTTGCAAACATTATTTTAAAGGACTTCAAAAATAAATACACTAGTGGCGCTGTAGCTCAAGTGGTAGAGCGCTCGCCTTGAGTTGAAGAGCTGAGGGACAACGCCCAGGCCCAGAGTTCAAGCCCCACGACCGACAAAAATAGATAAATAAATAAATAAATAAATACACTATATATTATTGGACACAGATATATTCACATATTACTTTAACAAATAATATTACAAATTCTTGAGCATTAATCTTTGTATTTCACATAGAATTGGAACAAGAATTACTAGGTTTAAAATTTTGGCCTGGGGCTAGGCACCAGTAGCTCAGGCCTGTAATCTTAGCTATTCAGGAGGCTGAGATCTGAGAATCATGGTTCAAAAAGCCAGCCTGGACAGGAAAGTCTCTGAGACTCTTATCTCCAATAAACCACCAGAAAACTAGAAGTGGTGTTGTGGCTCAAATGATAGAGTGCTCTCCTTGAGCTGAAGAGCTGAGGGACAGCACCCAGGCCCAGAGTTCAAGCCCATAACCACCCCAAAAAAAATTTTTTTTGGCCTGGAGCCTGTGGCTCACACCTATAATCCTAGCTACTCTGGAGGCTGAGATCTAATGATCAAGATTCAAAGCCAGCCCAGGCAGGAAAGACAGTGAGACTTTTATCTACAATTAACCACCAAAAAACCGGAAGTGGTAGAGTGCTCACCTTGAACTGAAGAGCTCAGGGACAGTGCCTAGGCCCAGAGTGCAAACCCCATGACCGACCAAAAGGAAACAACTTTTATTTATTTATTTATTTATTTTGAAGGAATACGGCTTAGTGGTAGAGTGCTTGCCAAGCATGCACTGGGATTGATTCCTCAGTATCACATAAACAGAAAAAGCTGGAAATGGTACTGTGGCTCAAGTGGTAGAGTGCTACCCTTGAGCAAAAGAAGCTCAGAGACAGTGCCCAGGCCCTGAGTTCAGGCCCCAAAACTGGTAAAAAAAACCAAAAAAATTAAGATTTTTGAGCTGGAAACCAGTGCCTCATGCCTGAAATCCTAGATACTAAGAAGGCTAAGATCTGAAGATCCTGGTTCAAAGCAAGCCCAAGCAAACAAATTCCAGGAAACTGTTACTTTCATTTAATTAGTAAAGAGCTGAAAGTAGAGGAGTAGCTTGAGAGGTAGAGTACCCGCTCTGAGCAGAACAAAACTAAGAAAGAGCATGAGGCCCTGAATTCAAGAGCCACTCCTAGAACAACAACAACAACAACAAAACGCCAACCAACCAGCCAAACAAAAAAATGTGTGTGTGTGTGTGTGTGTGTGTGTGTGTGTGGTTTTGGTGTATACTCCAGATTCCTCTTTTGAAAGATTACAAGAATTTAGAGTTTTTTAAATTGTTATTATTGAGGAGTTGTAAAATGAATTGTAATTCCATAAGTCAGGTAATGACTATAATGCTTCCTGGATAATGTTACCCCTTCCTTTGCTTTTCTCCGTTTTCTCCCTCCTGTTTCTGCCCACAAGTTGCTTAGTTCATTTTTTACATAGTTTATATTGAATACCATGACTCCATTTGTTCACCCTACCTCCCTCCATTCCTGTACCCCCCTAAGAATTTAGATTTTTATGAGTAATCCATTTCTTATAGCTTTGTCATCATTTAAAATGTTATTAATTAGACAAGTGAAATATTTTGTTTTATATTAAAAATATTTAAGTTGGATGCTGGTGGCTCATGCCTGTAATCCTAGTTACTCAGGAAGTTGGGATCTCAGGATTGCAGTTTGAGACCAACCCAGGCAGAAAAGACCGTAAGACTCTTATCCCCAATTAACCACCAAAAAAACCCCAGAAGTAGAATTGTGGCTTTTGTGGTAGAGTGCCTATCTTGAGTGAAAAGCCAAGGGACAGTGCCCTGGCCCTAAATTCAAGTCCTAGTATCAGAAAAAACAAAAACAAAAACAAAACCCCAAAAAACTAGTGATGTCATGTGAATGTATTAAACATTTTGAATTGTTTCTATCTTTTGATTATTGTGAGTAATGCTGCTGTGAAGAGAATATACAAATCTGGAGGAGTGGTTCATCAATAGACTGCCTGCCTAGCAAGTATAAACTCCTGATTTCAAACTCTAGGACCACAAAAAAAATTATCTATAACTTTGAGTTCCTGTTTTCAGTTCTTTTTTTTTTTTTTTTCTTTTTGTGTGCCAGTGCTAGGGCTGGAAATCAGGGTCAAGGCAGACTCTTAGGCTGATGATATACCACCATTGGAACCATAACTACATTTCCAGGTGTTTGTTTGTTTTAGTTTTAGTTTTTTGTTGGTCAAGGGGCTTGAACTCTGGGCCTGGGCACTGTCCCTCAGCTTTTCAGCTCAAAACTCTACCACTTGAGCCACAGCATTACTTTTGGTTTTCTGGTGGTTAATTGGAGATAAGAGTCTCATGGACTTTCCTGCCCAGAATGGCTTTGAACGTGATCCTCAGATCTCAGCCTCCTGAGTAGGATTACAGGTGTGAGCCACCTGCACCTGGCTTATATTTCTAGTTTTTTGCTGGGTAACTGGAGAGTCTCATGGACTTCCCTGCCTGGGCTGGGCTTTGAACCACAATCCTCAGACCTCAAACAACTGAGCAGCTAGGATTACAGGTGTGAGCCTAGCTCTTGCATTTAAATATTTTTTTTAGGGCTGGGAAGATGGCTTAGTGGTAGAGTGCTTACCTAGCATGCATGAAGCCCTGGGTTCGATTCCTCCATACCACATACACAGAAAAAGCTGGAAAGGGGTGCTGTGGCTCAAGTGGTAGAATGCTAGCCTTGAGCAAAAGAAGCTCAGGGACAGTGCCCAGGCCCTGAGTTCAAGCCCCAGGACTGGCAAAAAAAAGGAAAAATATTTTAATGTTTTATATTTTGTGGCTGAACTCATGACTTCACGCTTGCAGGTGGCTCCACCATTTGAACTATATTTCTGCCAAGTCTTTTATGTATTTTAAGTCAATCTTTGTATGGTTTAAGATAAGGTCCTAAATAGGCATGGGAAGTGTTTTGTTTATTTTTGTTTTTTGCTCGTTTGTTTTTGAGACAAGGTCTCATTATATGCCCAAGACTAGTCCAGAACTTAGGATCCTCCTTCCTCAGCCTCTCAGATTCTGGGTTATAAGTATAGCTCACCACACCCAGTTCTGGATACGTTTTAATATTGTTAATATACTTGACAGAACAATGGAATCTTGGAAAATGAAATGAAATATCTAGGCAGTCCCATTACTGCAGTTTCAAAGTTGGATAAAAATCCAAAACTAGAAGACAACATGATAGAAGGGATTTCAAGAGAATTGACTGACTTTTCCTTGAAAGATGAAGAAGACATCAAGGTACAGTACTATCTGATGATATCTTTGCATTTTCCTCATTTTATTTTTGAGTAAACAATATTGTGTGTCTAATATGTTTCAGCCACTGTCCCACATGTTAGTATTACAGAGATCAAGAAGACATGGTTTTAGAGCTGGGAATAGTCGTACATACCTATAATCTCAGCATTTGAGAGATAGAAGCAAAATGATTGAGTTAAGGTCAGCTTGGTTTACAGAGAGGAACCTTGTTATAAAAACAAAAATGAAAATAGACATGATCATTAGACTTAGAGCTATCTGATTAGTAGTGTGTTAGAGGTATGTGTGGTTGTTTGTGGACATCTTACTCCTGGGTAGGCAGGTTCCAGTTAGTAAGTTTGAGAAGCTCATCATCAATGTAATCTGGTAGTGGATGAACTATACCAAACATGATAATTGAAATTATTGTAGTATATCTGCCCGCCTATTTCTTTTTATCCTCCCTGTATCTGAAGCCCGTGGCCTTTTGAGCTATGTACTAATATGCCAAAGATAGTTTCTGAGGCATTTCTGAATCAACTTTTAAATAAATCTGGGTGTTAGTACCTTTTAAGTTTGTTCATTTTACAAGATAAATAGGCTATAGTGGAATTAGAACACTTGTTTTAGTTCTTATTCTCTTATTTACTCCTGTTATAACCATTTGCAAGGCAGTTAATGTTGCCTCAGTGAATAAACTTTTGTTTTTCATTTATAAATTGGGCAACATAGCAAAAATTTTCCATAGGATTGTTGTAAATATGAAAAATATTAAGTTTTTGTGCTCATCTCATGCATATTTATGTAGACATGAATAGTAGCTATTTGGTAAAGGATGTGTTGATTTGATTGTAGTGTTAATTTGATTTTACACACAGATTGCATGTATGAATAGAATTATGCAATTTTTCACCCAGGCCCAGAGTTCAGGCCCCATGACCGGACCCAAAAAAAAAAAAAAAAAGAATTATGCAATTTTTGTCCACTATACCTCACATAAAACTGAAAAAAATTACTATTTTTATTATTCCACTTTCTAGGGGGAGGGTTGTTGTTGCTAGTACTGGGGCTTGAAATTACTGCCTCATACTCTCCCTCAGGGTTTTTCACTCATGGCTTGTGTTCTATCACGTGAATCATACCTTCAGTCTGACATATGCTAGTTAATTGGAGATAGAGTTTCTCAGATTATCTGCCTGGGCTTCTTTCAAATGGAACGCATCAGACCTCACCTAGAATTACAAATGAGCCACCAGCACCCAGCTCACTATATACATTTTAACTTCATACTTTATACTTGAATATATTCTTCCTTGTAAAAATGAAAACACAAGCTGGGTACCAGTGACTCACACTTGTAATCCTAGCTACTCCAGAGGCTAAGATCTGAGGATCATGGTTCAAAGCCAGTCCGGGCAGGAAAGTCCCTGAGACTCTTATCTCCAATAAACCACTAGAAAACCAGAGTAGCACCCAAGCACAGAGTTCAAGCCCCACGACCGACAAAAAACAAACAAACAAAAAACAATGAGCCACAAGTGCTTGGCTTCCATTTCCTTTTTTTTTTTTTGGTCAGTTGTGGGGCTTGAACTCTGGGCCTGGGTGCTGTCCCTCACCTCTTCAACTCAAAGCAGCACTCTACCTCTAGAGCCACAGCATCACTTCCAGTTTCCTAGTGGTTTATTGGAGATAAGAGTTTCATGGAAGCCGGGCGCTGGTGGCTCACGCCTGTAATCCTAGCTACTCAGGAGGCTGAGATCTGAGGATCGCGGTTCAAAGCCAGCCCGGGCAGGAGAGACCGTGAGACTCCTATCTCCAATAAACCACCAGAAAACCGGAAGTGGCGCTGTAGCTCAAGTGGTAGAGCGCTCACCTTGAGCTGAAGAGCTGAGGGACAGTGCCCAGGCCCAGAGTTCAAGCCCCACGACCGATAAAAAAAAAAAAAAAAGAGTTTCATGGAGTTTCTTGCCCGGGCTGGCTTTGAACCGTGATCCTCAGATCTCAGCCTCCTGAGTAGCTAGGCCTACAGGAGTGAGCCACCAGCGTCCAGCTTTGTGACTCATACTTGTACTCATCCTAACTACTCAGGAATCTGAGATCTGAGGATCATGGCTTGACACCAACCTGGGCAAAAGCCCTTGAGACTCTTAACCACTAAAAAGCCAGAGGTGGAGCTGTCTTTCAAGTGGTAGAATGCTGGCCTTGAACAGGAACTCAGGGACAACTCCCATACTCTGAGTTCAAGCCCAGGACCAGAAAAAAAAAAAAAAAGTGAAATAGTAAGGGAGAATGTAAAGGGAGTGAGATTGATTGGAATGCACTGTAAATATGTTTGGAAATGTAATAATAAAATTTAGCCTGGTATAATATAAACTAATTAAAAATAGTTGAAAAAAATTAAGACCCTTGGCCTAGAAACATGGTTCTACTAGTAAAACACTTGTAGCAAGTGCAAGACCCTGGGTTTAATGCTAGCATGAGAAATAAATACATGAATAATTTTTTTTTAGTGGGTGAGGACAAGAGGGAAAAAGTGGGAGAAAGCAAAGGAAGGGGTAACATTTTCCAGAAAAAAATATACTCATTACCTGACTTATGAAACAGTAGCCCCAGTATATATCACCTTTATAAATAACTATAAAACAACTAAAATAAAAGAAATGGGAAAGTTTATGTTGGCTCATAGTTTTGAAGATTTTGGTCTATGGTGCATCAACCTTGTTGCTTTTTGGCCTGAAGCATGAGAGACATCTTGGTAGAAGCATGTGGCAGAGAATTAGCTCATTTCATGGCACCCAAGTCATGGCACTGTGAAAGTATAACTTTGGAGTCCTCCAAAACAGAGTATTAAGTAGAGTGGACAGTAGAAATGAGAAGATCCAGTCATTTCCAAGAGTAGACTGTGCCGTGTTGGTGACCAGAACAGTGGGAGAATCAACCACTTTCCATTGCATCATGTATCCTGGTGACTGGGGTTCCACATGCCCTTGGGAAGCATCATCTAAGTTTCACTCCACTTCAGTGGAGTGTTCTTCATAAGGCTATTTCTTTTTCCTTGTTTTATTTTTTTTTGGCGGGGTGGGGGGGGGGGATTTGGCAGTATTGGGATTTAAACTTAGGGCTTTTCACTTGAGAGCCCTGTAGGCTAACCTTTCTCTTTTTTTTTTCTTTTTCTTTTCTTTCTTTTTTTCTTTTTCTTTCTTTCTTCCTTCCTTTTTTTTGGCTAACCATAGTGATTTCTTTTTTTTTTCCTTTTTTTCATTTTGGACTGCTGTTGAGTCTTTTTTTTTTTCTTTTGGGTCCGGTCATGGGGCCTGAACTCTGGGCCTGGGCACTGTCCCTCAGCTCTTCAAGGCTGGCGCTCTACCACTTGAGCCACAGCGCCACTTCTGTCTTTTTTCTTTGTTTGTTTGTTTGTTTTGGGTCTGGTTATGGGGTCTGAACTCTGGGCCTGGGCGCTGTCCCTCAGCTCTTCAGCTCAAGGCTAGCGCTCTACCACTAGAGCCACAGCACCACTTCCAGATTTTCTGCTTATGTGGTGCTGAGGAATCGAACCCAGGGCCTCAGGCATGCAAGGCAAGCGCTCTACCACTGAGTCACCTTCCCAGCCCCCCATAGTGATTTCTTTTTCATCAAATTAAAAACTATTTATTTATTTATTTTTTACTGAGGTCCTGTTAAGTGTAAGGTACTGGGGGTTCAGTGGTAACTAAAACAGACTAGCATTTACATATTTAAAAATTTTTTTTATTGTGAAAATACCGTACAGAGGGGTTACAATTACACGGGCAAGATAATATATTAGCATTTATATTTTTGTCAAGGAAATAACTAAAACCAAAACAATAATAACAAAAATGAAACTTTTTAAAATTAGGTTATTAGATCTTTTAGTTAGAGTTCTTGGTTGTAAATAACATAAACTGATTCTAGTTTATTCTCAAAGAAGAAGTGGGATTTTCCTGGAGGGTATTAGGGAACTGTAAGAATTATCAGAGATGCCAGGCGCCCGTGGCTCATGCCTGTAATCCTAGCTACTCAAGAGGCTGAGATCTGAGGATCACAGTTCAAAGCTAGCCCGGGCAGTAAAGTCCGTAGACTCTTATCTTCAATTAACCACCAGAAAACTGGAAGTAGCACTGTGGCTCAAGTGGTAGAGCACTTGCCTTGAGCTGAAGAGTGCAGGGACAGCGACCAGGCCCAGAATTCAAGCCCCATGACTGAAAAAAAAAAAAAAAAGAAAAGAATTATCAGACTCAAAAGGTAAGGCTGAGGGAAGGTGGCTCAATGGTAAAGTGCTTGCCTTGCATGCTTGAGGCCCTGGGTTCAATTCCTTAGCACCCATAAGCAAAAAAAAAAAAAAAAAGCCGGAAGTGGTGGTGTGGCTCAAGTGGTAGAGCACTAGCCTTGAGCTGAGGGGCAGCGCCCAGGCTCAGAGTTCAGGCCCACGACCAGACCCAAAATAAAAAACAAAACAAAAGGTAAGGCTGAGCCAAAACATGGAAACATAGTACTCAGGCTCAGGATGCTCCCACTTACTGGCTGGATTCTCAGTACTGCTGTTACTGGCCTCCTCCTGTGGAACATGGTCTAAGCTACCACTGGACTTTTATACTCTTGGCTGTTGATGCCATCTACTATATTATGCCATCTACGATATGATGTGGCTTAAGCTTGAAATCCTAGCTATTCAGGAGGCTGAGATATGAGGATCAAGATTTAAAAACAGCCTGTACAGAAGAGTCTGGGACTTTTCTCCAATTAACCAAAAAAGAAAAAAGCTGGATTGGAGGCATGGCTCAAATAGTAGAACACAGCTATGTGAGGCTCTGAGTTCAAACTCCAATTACCCGCCCCCCCCCCAAATAATTAACATATCTTATGTTTCTGTTTTATTCTTCACAGTTCAGTATCTAGTTGCCTTGAATGGATATAGGGAATATGTATCTCCCTTGGCCTCCTTACCAGAAGTCAAGGTTGCATCCCACCTAACTTTAGAT